TGGTGATAGGCCATGCCAAAGCTGGGAGCTATTCAGTCAAGGTCTCCCATGTGGGTGGCAGAGACCCAAGTACCTAGGCTGTCATCGACTGCCTTCCAGGGTACACCTTAGCAGGAGCTGGACCACAAGCAGAACCAGAACTCATACACAGGCACTCTGATATGGGATGCAGGCATCCTGAGTAGCATCTTAACCACTGTGCCAAAGTCCACACCAGCAATGTTTTCCTGTAAGAAACTATGTGACTACAAGAGTCCCCAAATGTTCACTTTTCATAAAGGTGACATCAATTTCCATAGCAACAAGAGTCCACCAATATTATGACAGATGATGCAAAAGTGTCAGATGAATCAAATCGTGTCATCTGGGAAGTTTTCAGTTGCAATAGAAAACCCCAACTGAGACTGGCTTAAATAACACAGGAAATGTACTGGGTCACCCAAGTGAAAACTCCAGAAGTACAGGGTGCTAGGAGTGAGAGGTGCTCAATAACCCCATATAACGGGACTCAGAACCTATTTTTCTTCCAATTTCTTGTTACTTCCTTGGTGTTGACTTCATTTTTACAAACTCTGCTCGATTCAAGACCCTAAACTGGCTCTGAGGAATCCTCACTCATTCATGAAACAGCAAAGAATCTATGTCAGGATATTTAGAAGAGAAAAAAATGTCTTTACAAGTCACTCTGACTGCATTAGTTTAAGTGTGCCAATTCCCAGTCACTCATCACCAATATAGATGTTGCACAGAAAATGGCCCTGCTAATGGTGCCCCCACACGAAGAGGTGCTGCCTCTCACAAAGCTGAGAAGGGAGGAAGGGGCTAAAACTACTCCAGCAAGAAAGAGAAGCAGATCCCAGGCTGTCAAAAACAGGCATTCACTACAGGCACTTCAGAGCCTACTTCCTATTTACTCCTTTAGAAAGCAACTCAAAACTTCGCAAATTTTCTGCATGTTACCTAACATACTTTTAGAAAACAAGCATAAAAGTGTACTAGGTCATTTCACAGTATTTTATAATTGCTAAAGAGCCTTTATTGTGAAAGTGATAATAATACATACTTTATTTGGAGGATTTTTATATTGCATAGTGTTCACATCCAAAAGAAAATCCTAACTCTGATGACTCATGAATTCAAACATACCTTATTTGCTATCCCTTTTAGTGTGGTGTTTAAAAAACATGACTTTTTAAATGCCGTTGGGCTATAAAAGCACACACTGAAATGTAATACAGCCTTCTTTTCAAAGCATCACACCCATCATTGTCTGATCACATCACTGTCTGAACTATGCTCAGGTGAATAGTTCCAAGCAAGTTTATTTTTGCTCTGTACAAGTATTTAACTTGTTTCCTCCTGTTCTCCCTTTAGTAATCTGGTTTTCTCTTAGCCAATTTCCTCTACCTCTGTTCTTTTCTAGACTCACAGAGCTTTTTCAAGCTAAAGTTCGTCACCATTTTTACTGTCTGCCAAGACACGAAAGAAGAACCCATAGTGAAATGAATATCGCAGTTTGCCCCACCTACTAAGCTGCCTGCAATCTGTCTTCAGCCTCTATAATTTGAATCTGCTCAAAGTTATCAGTGGCATCAATCTTCACCCTACTGAATTATTGACACAATTGATAACATCCTTTCTTGACTTTGCTTTTCTTATCTGATTGGTCTTCCTCTGTTACCCTTAAGATGTAACCATGTCTCTTTGTTTTAATTACTCTCACTTCTTGGGGCCAGGGCTGTGGCTTAGCGGCTTAACGCCCTGGCCTGAAGTGTCAGCATTCCATATGGGTGCCTGTTCTAGTCCCGGCTGCTCCTCTTCCAATCCAGCTCTCTGCTATGGCCTGGGAAAGCAGTAGAAGATGGCCCAAGTGCTTGGGCCCTTGCACCCGCGTGGGAGACCCAGAGGAAGCTCCTGGCTCCTGGCTTCAGAAAGGTGCAGTTCTGGCCATTGCAGCCAATTAGGGGGTGAACCATCAGATGGAAGACCTCTCTCTCTCACTGTCTGTAACTCTGTCAAATAAATAAAAATCTTTATAAAAAGAGTTGCCAACTTCTGCCCTGTCTTTGAGTTTTCTCCTTCATTTCATTACCACCCTGACTGACAAGTCACTGCTTCAGAAGGCCCACATGTGTCTTCTTTTTCCCATGAGCCTATCAAGGTTCCCTTTGGAATCCTTCCTTGAAGGTCCAACTTAAATATTTCCCCTCTAGAATCCTGCTGCAATTTCCCCAGCTATAAATTACCTATGATCCCATCATCTGTGTACAAGCTACCATCAGCTCTTGATTTAGACATTTGAAAACCTTCCTAACTTGTATTCCTGCTTTTCTTGCTGTCTCCTAATTATTTCTCCATATAATCATCAGACTGATTTTTTTTTCATGAAATCTAAACTTTGTCCCTCGGTTTACAAGGCCTGAAAAGATCTGGCTTCTGTTACTGTTTACTAGCCCAGGCACTATGGTAAATTCTTTATTTGGATTAATTCACTTAATAATGTCAGCATCCTACAGCTATGTACTTTTAATATCCTCATTTGTAGCAGATGTTTTTGGTGACTCACTCAGATGTTTTACTGGGCTGGTATACATATTCCAGTTGCTACAGGTGTTGGCTGCTAAGAGCTCACAATTCCACCCTTATTTGGAAGATAATTCTTGGCCAAGGACAGGCACCTTGGCATCCCTAGTCTAGACTGCCTGATGTAGGAACCTACGGCTCATATTCCTCATCTCTGGGCAGGACCTCTGTGACCCAATTCATTCTACACGGTGCCTGTAGGGTCAGGCTGAGGCTTTACAAATTCTGTCCTTGTGTAAATCCCATTTTCTTTACTCCATTACAGGTTTCTCCTAAAAGCAATCTCTCAATCACTTGTGCAAGGATCCCAATCTGAGGCATTGCTACAGAGGAACTGACCTAAGACACTATTTTTACAGATAAGGAAACCTCAGACAGAGGTGAAATGATTTGCCTAAGGTCAAAAACAAAGTGGAAAAGCTGAGATTTGAAACCAGACAGTCAGGCTCTCCAACCTCTTCTCTCTCCTCAGCACATCCTGTCTCCCAGTTAATTCCTGCCTTAAGGCCTTTGTACTTCCTATTCTGTCTGCCTAGAATGTCTCCTGTGTCACTGTGGCTTGCTTCTTCACTTCTTTTAAAACATTTCCTCTCTTCTCTTCTCTCTCCTCTCCTCTCTCTTACTCTCTCTTTCTCCTGCTTCGCCCCTTCCCTTCAGTCTGTCAGGTTTCCCCCAATAAATTCTTTCCCTTAAAAAACAAAATTTCGGGCTGGCGCCATGGCTCACTAGGCTAATCCTCCGCCTTGGGGCGCCACCACACCGGGTTTTGGTCCCGGTCAGGGCACCGGATTCTGTCCTGGTTGCCCCTCTTCCAGGCCAGCTCTCTGCTGTGGCCAGGGAGTGCAGTGGAGGATGGCCCAGGTGCTTGGGCCCTGCACCCCATGGGAGACCAGGAGAAGTACCTGGCTCCTGGCTTTGGATCAGCGCGGTGCGCCAGCCGCGGCGGCCATTGGAGGGTGAACCAACGGCAAAAGGAGGACCTTTCTCTCTTTCTCTCTCACTGTCCATTCTGCCTGTCCAAAAAAAAAAAAAATTTTTCAAAAAAAAAATTATAAAAAAAAAATTTCGAATATTATCTCCAAAAGAGACATTTCCTGACTTCAACCATCATATCCAAGATGGCAACACTATAACCAAATCTGCTTTAGTTTTCTTCATGGCATTTAATACTTGAAAGTATATTGGGGCGGCCGGCACCGCGGCTCAATAGGCTAATACTCTGCCTGCGGCGCCAGCACACCGGGTTCTAGTCCCGGTCGGGGCACCGGTTCTGCCCCAGTTGCTCCTCTTCCAGTCCAGCTCTCTGCTGTGGCCCGGGAGTGCAGTGGAGGATGGCCCAAGTGCTTGGGCCCTGCACCCCATGGGAGACCAGGAGAGGCACCTGGCTCCTGCCTTCGGATCAGCGCGGTGCGCCGGCTGCAGCAGCCATTGGAGGGTGAACCAACGGCAAAGGAAGACCTTTCTCTCTCTCTCTCTCTCTCTCTCACTGTCCACTCTGCCTGTCAAAAAAAAAAAAAAAGTATATTGGGGCAAGTGTTGTGGTGCAGGAGGTTAAGTTGCTGCTTGGGATGCCTGCATCCCCTATTAGATTGCCGGAATCAAGCCCTACCTATACTCTCCATCCAGCTTCTGGCTAACCCAACTGGGAGAAAGCAGATGATGACCCAAGCACTTGGGATCTTGCCACTCATCTGAGAGACCTAGATGGAATTCCTGAGTCCTGGCTTCGGCCAGGCCCAGCCCCAGCTGTTGCAGGTACTTGGGGAGTGAAGCAGCAGATAAAAGACCTCTAGGGGCCAGCGCTGTGGCATAGTGGGTAAAGCTGTCGCCTGCAGTGCTGGCATCCCATATAGGTGCGCGTTCGGAGTCCTGGATGCTCTACTTCTGATCCAACTCTCTGCTATGGCCTGGGGAAGCAGTAGAATATGGCCCATGTCCTTGGGCCCCTGCACCCACGTGGGAGAGTGGAAGGCTTCTGGTTCCTGGCTTCAGATCAGCGCAGCTTTGGCAGTGGGAGTGAACCATTGGATGGAAGACCTCTCTCTATGCCTCTCTGTAACTTTGTCTTTCAAATGAATAAATAAATCTTTAAAAAGAAAATCTTTATCTTCCTCTCTGTCACTATGCCTTTCATATAAATAAATAAGTTAAATTTTAAAAAGGTGCAAACTATATTGTGCATATATTTGTTTTCTGTCATTCACACTAAAACCAAAGTCCCTTGAGGGCAAGAATGCTATTGTTCATTGCTATACTCTCAATGCTTGGTGATACACCTGGCACAGAGCAGGAGCTCAGCAACTATTGCTGAATGAATGAATGACTTCTCTGTTCTCAAAACTTTTACAGGATTTGTAGAAATTTCCTAACTGTAGTTCCCTAATGCATATTTACTTACTACACAAACTCTTATGCTCTCAGAGGGCAAGAACGGTTTTATTAATTTGTGGGTAATAGGAGGTATTCAAATAACGGCACTGCCTCTAAAACTTCAAATGTCAATTGCAGCTCCTCTCTGCATGTGCGAACAAACATCAAGATGGCATATGAATTATAGCATAACCCAAGAGCATGAAAAAGCATATCACATTTAATTTATAAAACATCCTTATTAATTGGATAAGATATAGCAAATACAAATAGGTACTTATTATTTTACTTTTATTTTAAAAACAATGTCATTTCCAAAATATAAAAAATAAACCTATTTTCAAAGAACCATTTAAATATGGCTTTGAAAACCAAAATATTTTATTTACAACAAGTAGATGGTAGTGCAACAGCACTCATAGATGTTTATGATAAATAAAATTAGCATTATACTGGCATTCTTTGGGGTCAGGTCTTTATATTTATAGGTATCTATAATGACTTATCAAATAAAATCAATAATGGTCATTAATATAATGTGGAATTCAACCTGACTTTAAACAACTAATGTAGATTAATCATTTATTTGGGATCCTGGATCTGTGTATCCAAAAATGAAAGTGGAAAGTTAGTTTCTGATTTCCATTCAGCTTGTCAATAAACAGATCTCAAGCATTGTAGCATCTGTAAAAGGTGATCTGTTTAGCATCAGCAGTAAGTTATTTAGTCACATATGTTAATAAAGGCTGATGCAACTGGATAGTGAAAGTACAAATTTCATAAGTTTAAAAATACTAAACACCTATGCAGGAAGATAACTGGATCCAGGATTATATTTTAAATTATAGAATATGAGTCTCTGGGGGAAAAAATGGCTATGGAATGACAGCAGATGTCAGATATTTCACAGAGAAGTACATAACTTCTCAAATGTCTCTAGTTAGCACGTTCCGATTGAATTAAAATGGAAGCACAGTTGCGAAGAATTTTGTTCACACTACCATTTCCCAGTTCTCAAAGGTCTAGATTTGGACAACAACTTATCCAGTAAATCCTTAAATTTATCCTTGAAACATATAATGACATTCTTTTAAGATGTCATTTTCTTGCTATTGCACAGAGGTCAATTTTAAAGCCAACCTAGGCAAATAAATTCAGAAAAGGCAGCACATTTTTCTAGTCCATTTGTCAAATGTTCAAATCGGCTTCTATCTGAACAATGAAATGAAGAAATTTGTGAAATTCTACACTTGGTGTCAGTTTTAACTTTGTGTTGATGGCAGCCATTTCAGGCAGAGGTAGCCAAGTCCCATACATATGGGGAATGCAAAAAAGCAGAAAAACACTATGACGACTTAGTTCTTCAACTTCTAATGGTTATAGACCGATTTTGATTACGAGCCATGTTGCTATGCAACATTCTTTTGAATTTTACATTTAAAACACAAAATAGCTTGTTGCTGTCTTGAGCAGATAAATTGGAATTATCTTCTTTCAGCTTACTTTCTCTTTTCTCTAAGGTCAAGTAAAAAATGTGAGACATTTTCATATACTACAAAGGTAATACAGCAGGCTGGTGTCACTCTAATCAAATTGGGAGCAATTCCTTTGTAAAATCCACCGATGCCTTCTTTCCTTTAGAGGGAAAAAGAGAGAGAGATGCTTAATCTCCTAAATTGCTAGCTTGAAAATACAAAAGTTTAACTGACACAGGCATGGAGCAAGCAATCAAACCTCACTGTGATTTAAGTCTGTATCTTTAGTGTTCTGAAGTAATACAGTTTGTGAGCCATTTGTAGGGGCCTACCTTCTTTTCATGGACTAAGGAAGAAGGTAGGCCCACCTTGAGATTCAAGTGAAAAGTTCTTTAAATTAGCCATCTTTCGAATGCTTTTAAGGGTATGAACATGCAGGAATTTTCACTGACCTAATGCAGGCATTAAAAGTTTTATAGCTTATATAAATGCCATACAATACTAAATACAGCATAAATAAACCTACAAAATACAAAATTATTTTCTTACTGCCTAGAATAGAGGAAATGGTAGGAGCTTGCCACTTAAGTTCTTGTTAAAAATATTTCCTGAATTGAACTCAATACTCTAAAAATTCTGCTCTGGCCTTTTAGAATTAAAGGGAAACATGGGGAGGTTTACCTAGTCTACCTATAATAACCGAACTATTTTCATGCCGAAGAACAAGCATGTTCTTCATGTATTTGTAGTATTTTCAAAATTTATGGTACTAGTAGCAAGGTGCTAGTGCCTTCTCAAATGTACTAAATTAGATTTATAACTTCTCGTATTCAATGCCATTCATATTATATACCTAAATTTTGACTTATGATTTTTCAAAGTACTTTTATATACCTCAATTTGATTTTTATAATAACCTTGTCAGTCTAGATAGTTTAATTTTACAAATGAAGAAATCAAACCTCAGAGAAATTAAGTCCAATTAATTTTCATATCCCATGTGTTCTCACCTCCACGTCCTTGCAATCACATCAATTACACCACTGTAAAACATGTGCTGATCCTGAAGACGAGCTCTCACAACTTGATATGGGTACGTGGCTGCTACAGCAAATATTTTAGATAGTGCTGCAACAGATATGTATTCTACTGTGCTCTAAAACAATAACAAAACATTTATGTTTTTCTTGAGACAGGATTAGAAAATATACATTTGTAACAATTATAAAAACATATAAATAGATTTTAAGTGAAAAATAGTTTCCCTCCTTTAATATAAACTCCATATAAAATGGGTTCTATTTTTAATACCTGTGTATCATTAGCCTATAAAATATTTAAGTATATAGTTACAGTGGCAAAGTTAATACTCATCCTCATTGCAATACCACCAGAATATCACAAGTTTTCACTCATTAAATGCCAAAAAAGTAAATAATATCTTTTTTTATAAGAATTATCTTACCAGTTGGGCTTCTGGTAATCTGTTGATGTGTTGATTGTATTTCAGCTTCAGTAGTTCATATGCCATAAACTGAAGTGCTCCATGCGATGTTCCAAACAGCCCAGGAACAAAGCCCTAAATGGGAATGAATTACAAAAACAAAAACAAAAAACCAACTTTCAAATAAATACTACATGTATATTTAAATATTTCTTCTCCCCTCATACTACAGTATTTTAAGCAAATTCATTTAGGTTTTACACAAATTCCACGTTTTTATAGAGGGTTAAATCTGTATTTCTTCTACTTTATAAGTTAAGATCTGGATTTTTCATGTTAGTTTTTCTTTAAACAGTATACATATAAACATAAAGACCCACACTGTCAAGAAATGGGATATGAGTGGGAGAATAAATTTTTGAAAAATCAAGAAATTAAGGTAATAATAATTCAATGGGCTGAGCATTAGTATTCTAAAAGAATAAGGCAATAAGTGATGGGAAAAAAAACTCAGAATTGAGTGGATAAAGTTTTAACATTTTTGCCTATTATGTCAGTAATACAACAAGGATCTGGGGTATTTTTTAATTCATATAAGGTTTGAGGTCAATAAAAATCCTACCAAAATAAGACTATAATAGACCCACAGACCTCTTCTCCATACTACATTGCCTAAGTTCCCAAGAGACAACAGCTTCTAGGGAGTGAAGTAAAGAATGGGTGACCTGGTTGCACTGAAGAAATACTTGACAGTTTTAGACAGTTCTTATACCTGACAGTGTCATGAAAATACAGCTTATGGTAATGAAGATACACAGCTTATCACACAATTTCAACATTTATAAGTTAGATTTCCGTTTTCATGAAATTGCTTCTTGTCAAAATTTGGCTTCTTTTTAGGACTGATTTTAGGTAATTCAGAACTGAGACCACAGAGCCAATGGAAATTATAATTTTCAGTATTCAAAATATATTGATAATAATTCATACCTTATACAATCCACGAACACCTTCATACTTATATATTTTCACAAGTGCATCAAACATTCCTTTATATTGTCGCTGTGAGGAATTCACAACACTATCATACTGTAACATGAGGCGAGTTTTTGTTACCCATAATGGATTTGTAATGCAAAGTGTCATGGCTCCTAAAATCAGATTTAAATAACATTACTCAGCACATAGTACTTTCTCACTTTAACAGTTCAATTAAGAATGGTGTATTTACACATGGAATGAAGTTGCACAGGGGCTGTACCCGGAACAGTGAGATGTGGTCTCCGAGGCACAACATTAAGGATAGAAATTTTTGGTGGCCATAAAAAATTCGTTATGTAGTTAGTGAGAGGTAAATTCAAAGGGAGTTTCTAGCCTCACACCCTTTGAAGTATGAGGATAGAAGAGATGTCCTGACCCCTAAACAATGTGGTCTGGCACACAGAACAGATGCTAAGGAGACACAGATCTTCAGAGAAGGAGACTGCATAACCCAGAGAGGCAGGTTAGGGGAAAGGACCGAGACCCCAACACCTCAGTAATCTCTGATTGTGCACACACATATCCACCCCAACTTTATCACAAGCTTCCTTAAATCCACTCAAAGCTCGAACCCCTCAAAAACAAAATAACTATGTAATATACGTTACATTTTACATTTCATACAAAATGACATTGCTAAGTCTCCTAAGTTTCTTTTATTCAACAAGTACTTATTCAGTCTTGTTATTGAGTCGGGTCCCTGCTAGTGACTAGTATTTAAAAATGAGTAAGTTAGTTCTTGCCTTAAACAAGTAGCAAATATTAAGAAACCAAGCTGTACAAAGTACCAACGCAAAATTTATAAAGACTTATGGGTAGGGGAAGGTGTCGCTCCCCCTCTTCGTGGAGGAACGACACAGGACCCTGCGCTGTTCTTTCGTCTGCTCGGCCCTCCCCGGGTTTGCTGCTGGTTCTTCCCGGGTTGGCTACTGTCCCTTCCACCTCCGTGGAAGGGCAGTTCCCCCTGGCCACATTCCCCACTTCCGCAGGGGAGCGGCACACCGCCGGCCGGCTCTCTCGGGGGCTGCACAGGTGTTCCTTCAGATAGATGTTCCTGGTGCATGCCGTCTCTCTCCTCCTTTATAGTCCTCCTCCGCCAATCCTAACTCGGCTGCCCACACGCCGAGTACGCTGCTCTCCTCCAATCAGGAGCAAGTCCTACAGTTTATTAGTTGAACTGGAGGCAGCTGTGCGGAAGCTGTTTACTTCTCTCCCAGCGCCATATTGTGGGAGAGCAGATGCATAGAATAAGTCTTAATTCCAGTAACTCAGTCTAGTCCGGTTTGCTCCCCACAGGAAGGCACTGTGGCACAGCAGTTAAAGCCACCACCTGCAGCACCAGTTTGAATCCCAGGTGCTCCACTTCCGATCCAGCTCCCTGCTGGTGCACTTGGGAAGGCATTAACAGATGGCCCAAGTCCTTGGGCTCCTGCACCCATATGGGAGACACGGAAGAAGTTCCTGGCTCCTGGCTTCTGACTGGCTCAGCCCCAGCCATTGTGGCCGTTTGGGGGAGTGAACCAGTGGATGGAAGACCTCTGTCTCTCCCTCTCTCTCTTTAAGTCTGCCTTTCAAATAAAAAATTAAATCTTAAAGACGTATAGGTCTCACTTTATTTTTCCTTCTGGATAAGATACATACATGAGGCAATTAAACAAAGTTGCTAAACTGTAATTTGAAATCTGAAATTATACTTTAACAAAATAAATGCTATACCAAATCATCTTAAACTACTAGAGTTTCATAACTTTTCTAAATAAGAATTCCTGCTTTCTAAGCAATCTCGTTAGATAATTGATGAACATAATTATATGAGCATATCTAAACTTTGATGTTCAAAGAAAAGACAAATAAAATAAAAAGCAAAAGTGGAAATCAAGTTTGGAAGGTGACATCTTATATCTTAGGGCCTTACCGGCTTCAGCAGCTGAGATGAGGTATTCTGTCGCCTCTAACTGTTCAGCTCTTCCTTCTGTCTTATATGATTTGATGGCATTGTAACTAAAAGAATTACATTTGAGTAGTTTGAGAGGTCTCATAAGGCAGTAATACGTGTTAAAGTGCATGTAACTTAACAAAAGTACCCCAAAAGTAAAATTCAATGTGTAATGCAACCACAAAATGAGAACTTTTTAAGGAACGGACATGCTAGAAATTGTTAACTGTAAGATCATACCACGTCTCCCCACAAATGTATACAGTTATCAAAGCACATGTAAACAATATTATTCACACACTCAGCAATTAACTAGGAAAGACAGGAAAACTGGTAGGAAGGAGAGTTGTGGTAGTGCAGAAATTGGACACAAAAGGCAAGAGACCAAAAAAGGAGCACCTAATATGTGCTGAGCACCTGTGCTCAGGTGCTGCAGTTGGCTTTCTGACAAAAAGATAAACACAGAAGGGAGCTTTCTTAACAGGCTCTAAAGGACTATTAGTGAAGCACGAGTAATCACAATAAAAGAAAACAAAGACAGTATTATAAGGGATTCACAACTAAGACTGATCAGGGAAGGCTTTGTGCAGGAGGTAGCAGTTGAGTTTGGTATTGAGAGACAGAGACAGAGATGAGCAATGCAAACAAGAAGGGTGGGTGGGAAGAAAGGGAAAACTGGCACACTTGAGAGTCGGGCTTTGTTTGGCAGAAAATAGTCAGTGAACGTTTCTCAGCAGGGGAGTCAGATCATCTTATTTTGTCTAACTTTGATGTCCACTTTCCTCTTGGAAGAAGACTTCAGTTGAAAAGTATGCCTTTGATGAGAACTGACAGAGCATAAATTAATAAGCCATTTTGTTCTGACTCTGGAAAATTCAGATTAAATGACTCATCTTGCTTTATCAACTGACGTGTAACAATCGCTAAAGGCAAAAACTATTTTTAATACTGTAAAATATTCCAGGTCTACTCACAAGAAAAAGTAGAGTCCCCAGGATAAACCTGCACCCCACACATTGGGGGTTACTCCTTGATAAAGTCCCCGTAGTCCATCAAGCTTCCAGATGGTAGTCAAGCAATGTAAGATTCCTTTATATTTTGGTCTCAGTTCCAATCCATCACTCACTGCATTGAAGGACACACAAAAGGAGGTAAGAGCAAAGTTCTAGCTCTGAGCTACACATAAATGGATACCATGCAATCAATTAAATAAGGGAAAGAATCCAAAAGAAATTTTATTTCCCAAGATTTAACACTTCAAAATTAGTAGCCCTAAGTTTATCCAAGTATGTATTAAGGGCATATTACACACTCAAATAATGGTTTCAAACGTATTACAGTAACTTTTTATTTTTTTAATTTTAATTTTTTTATTTTTATTTTTTGACAGGCAGAGTGGACAGAGAGAGAGAGAGACAGAGAGAAAGGTCTTCCTTTGCCGTTGGTTCACCCTCCAATGGCCGCCGCACCACGCTGATCCGATGGCAGGAGCCAGGTACTTCTCCTGGTCTCCCATGCGGGTGCAGGGCCCAAGCACTTGGGCCATCCTCCACTGCACTCCCGGGCCACAGCAGAGAGCTGGCCTCGAAGAAGGGCAACTGGGACAGAATCTGGCGCCCCAACCGGGACTAGAACCTGGTGTGCCGGCGCCGCAAGGCGGAGGATTAGCCTAGTGAGCCACGGCGTCGGCCACAGTAACTCTTAAATAATCCAAAAGTCTCAGTAAACAGTCTGATGTTTCAATTTTGTTTTTGTTATCAACATCGAAGATTAAGCATTCATATGTTCAAAAACATTTCTCAAAAAATAAACTGGCCAGGAGTTTCAATTACATCAAGAGTGCTGGCAAGACCCAAAGAGCAGAAGATAAGAAAATGTAGAGGCTATGGTAAAACACTTCCCTGGAAATTCTTTCTACTCTCCCACAAATGCAAACAGAACAAAAACCAAAATAGGAAGTAGGAAACTATTCTGCTTGAATGTATCCAGAATTGAGCTGGTTTTCTCCATCTTTTGGAAGCTGCTCTTATTCTAGTGTTCAGTATAGCCAAACACCTCTACCATCTAGGCTAGTGCCAGATACCTAGGGAGAACCCATGAATCCTCCTCCCTTTCATCCTCTTTTATCACTTAACACGAAAGCTTTCTGAAACCTGTGCACATCTCACAGTTCACATTGCCATCATTCTACTTTCAGACACCATCAGTTTCAATCAGCAATGACATGTAATCTTCTTGTCAGTTCTGTAAAGAAATATGACACAAGGGCCAGTGTTGTGGCCCAGCAGATTAAGCTGCTGCTTTGCAATGCTGGCATCCCATATAAGCACCGGTTTCAGTCCTAGCTGCTCTACTTCCCATCCAGCTCCCTACTAATGTGCCTAGGGAAGCAGCAGAAGATGGCCCAAATACTTGGGCCCCTGTCACCCATGTGGGAGACCCAGATGGAGTTCTAGGCTCCTGGCTTTGGCCTGGCCCAGTCCCATTGTGGCCATTTAGGGACTGAACTAGTGGATGGAAGATCTCTCTCTGTCTCTGCCTCTCTCTCTTTGTAACTCAGCCTTTCAAATACATAAATCTTAGGGGGGAAAAAATCATGTACATTACAAATTTGGCATCTTCATTCCGTGTCTCTGTAGGAAACATTCAAAATAGGAAATTATGGAATATGAGGGGTCACTTATAAAGACTGTTTACTAAAGTGTGAGCAGGTTATAGGAAGCCACAAGGACTAACACAGTACTAATGATTTATTTTACTAAATGTCTCAATAATAGGCAAGAATTAGGAGGTTGTCTTTGGAAGGTGATAAAGTGAAACAGCTTTTGTGTAACAGCAGCCCTATGGCACCTGGCACTGTCTTGGAGAACACTGGGGACCTGGTTTAGCTAAAGTGCTGGGAATTAGGTTGGAAAGAAGGGCAAGGGCCTGTTATGAATGTACCATATCTCCCCAATATTCATTTGTTAAAGACTTAGTTCCCAATGTGACTGCACCTTTAACAAGATAATTAAGGTTAAAGGAGGATATAAGAGCAGAGCCACAGCATAGAGGGTAAAGCCGCAGCCTGCAGCGCTGCTCCACTTCTGATCCAGCTCTCTGCTATGGCCTGGGAAAGCAGTAGAAGATGGCCAAGTCTTTGGGCCACTGCACCTATGTGTCAGATCCGGAAGAAATCTTCTGGCTCCTGGCTTTGGATAGGCCCAGCTCTGGCTGTGTGGCCATTTGGGGAGTAGACCAGCAGATGGAAGATCCCTCTTTCTCTTTCTCTCTGCCTTTCAAATAAGTAAATAAATCTAAAAAAAAAAAAAGGCAGAGCCCTGGGTCTGAAAGAATTTATGTCCTTGTAAGAGGAAAAAATACCAGGAGTGCACAAGCAGAGAGAAGAGAAAAGGCCATCTCCCGGATAACAAGAAAGGCCTCCCTGGAAGCCAATTCTGCTAGAACCTCGCTCTTGGACTTCAATCCTCAGAACTGAAAGAAAATAAATTTCTGCTGTGAAGCCACACTGTGGTATTTTGTATGGTAAGCCTTAACTGCAAAGTAGTCTTGAAAATCACACAAAAAAATTTGGCTATAATCTCAAACCTTGAATTTCTGAAAAGTAGGTCCAAATGCGCTTAAGATAATCAAGTGTATGTTTTAGAAAGGCAATTCTAGTGGTCTCTAGGAAAACCTAGAAGAAAACAAGACTATGCCACATACATAAAATACTAAGAATTTTTGGGGGGGCCTAAACAACTTAAAAATTGTCTTTAAAAGATACACAACTAAAGAATTAATATGTACACTTAAGTGCCTCTCATAAAAATGTGATACTGGCCTGTAATTGCATTAAAAGATGCCCACAGACACAAGCAAAAGATAAAAATGGGAAGGAGTAAACACAGGGAACACTACTCTTTCCTGTGCCCTTTTGTTAGAGCTGACAGAGTGCTTTAAGAGGCTAACACAGAAGGGAAAATAAGTCTCCATAAAACCCAGGGAAGATATTGGACCCCGTCTGCAGTCACAGCTGAGGGGGAAAAAAAGAGACAAGTGTACACTCATCTTAAATTTATTTTAGAAGAAAGACAACAACGACTTTTTAAAAAAACTGAGCACCTAGCACTACATTCCGAACACAACTTTGTTTTATTTGTTTGATATTACTTTTACTCCTCCTTTTCTGTCACAGATAAACTGAAGTTTGTGTCTCAATAAAACTAATCTCCTCTGCTTCCACTCTTTACCAGCATTTTAAAAACTTCAAAAAGGTTAAGAAATCAATTGAGGGGCTGGCATTGTGACATAGCAGTACAGCAGGTAACTGCCACCACCTGCAATGCCGGCATGCCACATGGACGCTGGTCAGTGTCCCCACTGCTCCACTTCCGATCTAAATCCCTGCTAATGGCCTGGGAAAAGCAGTGGAAGATGGGCCATGTGCTTGGGTCCCTGCCACCCACGTGGGAGACCTGGATGAAGCTCCTGGCTTCGGCCTGCCCTAGCACTGGCAGTTCCTAGGAGTGAACTAGCAGATGAAATATCTCTCTCTCTCTACCTCTCCCTCTCTCTAATTCTGACTTTCAAAATAAATAAATAAATAAAATAAAATAAATAAATAAATTTTTTTTTAAAAAGTCAATTATGCAGATTGCTAGTATTTCTTTAAAAAAAAACAGACTGGAATAGAAAACAAATACAAATGACATCGTAAGTGGTAAGGGTAAGTACTGTTTCATTAAAAGGGTTTCAGTAGCAGGGGTGTGTGTGTACATGTGTATATACATACATACATACATAACACATATTGGATAGCAAAAGAAAAATTTATTTCCTATTAGGGGTTCTGGTCCAAAAAATTTGAAACATCGCTCTAGACGCTGTTTCCTTAGGTCCTCCTCCCCCTTAGAAACCTCACTATCTTCCTTTAATTTCTTCCTTATTTTCCTTCCCATCAGAATTTAAACAGGCTTAAGACTCTCCAGAGTTAAGTATCCCCTCTTGGGTCCCAGCAGCCCCCTTTCAGTTAAGCTTCTGCAGAGAGAAAACAACTATCTTAGCAGGGACTTTCTCACCTCCATTGCAGTCTTGCTTGGGCCTCATCCATTACTTCAAGGGCTCTACTTGAGGGCCTCCAAGTGCACTTTGGGAGTCCTCTCTTCTTCACAAACCCTTAGTGGTACCTGACTTGTTTTAATAAAACACCCTCTTCTTTTGGCTTATCCCACACCATACCTTCCTGAATTTCCTCTTTTCTATTTTTTGCCATTAAGTTTCTTGTCCTTCTTCTGCCCTGCCCACTCTTAAATGCTGACTTTTTTTATCGGCATTCTTTCCAATCAACAGGAGTGGTTGTCTAATACTAAGTAGATTCTATGGCCATCCCTGTGTGGTAATTTCTCTATTCCTAATATTGGTCTCATTCCCAACATCCAGACCTGGCTTCTGTTTTCACATGGCATAAAAGATAAGTTAATCCGATGGTGCTTAACTTTGTGGAGTCATTCTTTATTTCCACTTCAGGCATTTTAATTAATTTACCCTTTAGCTATACTAGAATAGTATTGAGAAAAATGCTTCCAAAGCTCTTTGTTCATTGCCTTGTTCCTAGTAAACGTTCAGTGGCGATTATCTTTCAACAATGATCATTATCTGTGCATGCATCATAAACTCCCTGAAATTATATGCTTTTCTCGTGTTTCCCCCCCTGCCCCCGCCCAGGGATAACCCTCCATAATTCTTGCTGATTTTCTTCCATTGAGTGGCTTCTTGCCTCCTCTCCAAACTGTCAAAATATTCCCTTCTATGGGAAAGCCTCAAGAACTAATCTTCCATGGAATACTTTGAGACAGACCCATGCATCAGCAATCTTCATGGTATATCTGTATGCCTATTTTTCATTTAGGTTTATTCCACTTTGCCCCATACTTTATGTTGTCTAGAATTATCTTTTAGGAGACTAAGACTCAAGCTTAAGACTTTGTATTCCCTCAGGCCAAGAATTCTATCAGGTACATCTGAAGGTACATTCTTCAGGTACATCTTAAGCCCATACAACAATCTATAAAAGTCAAGAGAAATCTCTACCAAGTGAACTGAATAGAGTTCTCTACTTCTGCAGATGTAATTCTACTTAACTTGTAGTGATAACTCAAAATGCCAGAAAAGCTTCCAAATAAAAGGCATCAAAGATTATCTTTGAGACTATCTTTTCCAGAATTTACTATCGAGTTTAACTTCTAAAATGCTTTATCAATTTCAAAATACTTAAGATGCTTTAAAAAAAAATCGGTAGCACGTAGACTAGCTACCGATTCGTCACTAGACCTGTATACACACCAAAACAAAACAAAATGAAACAAAAGAAATCTCAATAGAATTGTATTCCAAACCTATTCCCAACCACCCGCTGAGAACTGTGCCCGACCCCAAGCGCTAGCATTTTCCTTTCCGTAGCTCTGCCAAACACGTGGCTACACAACGGTTTCAAAGTACCTCCAGGGTGAACGATTTGTTCCTCTAGGGCTAAGTCCTAAAATGCCACAATCCCTTCTTTCATTTACAAATCAGGACTTGACTCCCAACTTCCACAACAGACTTTCTCAGACTCTTCTACCCACACGCCCCATCCCCTGGTCTTCCTGGGCGAGGGGGACGGAGGCCGGATTTCCTCACCGGACCCCCTCCTCAATCTAGCTCCAGGTGAGCCCGACAGTCGGGCATCTTCAACGACCCCCTGCTCGTAGTTCGGTTAGAGGCAGGGGAACCCAAAGCCTCCTTCTGAGCCTTCCCCCGCCCCCAGTTCGGGCTGACTGGGAGAAGGAGCGGTCCTGAGTCTGGGCCGGCTCTTACCGGCGAAGCGGATCTTCACGAGGTCGAGCGGGTGTAGCGCGAGGTTAGACAAGACCCCGCCGCTCACGCCCGCTACCAGGTTCTCGTACCGGACGTGGTGGAACACCGTGCTCCACGCCGACGACTGGGACGCCGACTGGCCCTGGCCCGTCATAGGCTCGGGGCCCGCCGACACCACGGCGCCCAGGGCCGCGGAGGTGGGACGAGATGCAGTGGCCGCCACCGTGGCGACAGTGGCCGCGCGGGGGTAGGAACCGCGGGCGCGAGCCCACTTCCGGGACCGGCGAGATAATTCTGACACCCCGATCGCGGGAGCGAAGCCGGGAGACCGTAGCGCAGAGGGGGCGGTGCAGGGGCGCAGCCGCGCTCACGCCGCGGAGAACCCGAGGGAGGCGGGCTGCCAGCCTCCTCCGCCTCCCCGGCCAGCCTCGCCCACTGCTGCCGCGGGCTCCGGCAGAAGGGCAAGGGCAGGAGCGCCCGGCTGTGGAAACGCCCCCTGCCAGCCTTTGCCGGCAAAACTACGGAGCGCCGCAGGATCCAGCCGAGCCGGCCGGCCGGCTTCCGCTCCCCGGAGGTACGTAACAGGAAGTAGTATCAGGAAGGCGGAAGTCGCATGTGCAGGAGGAGGCGGCGGTGGTCCGCGCCGCGGCTCGCAAACTCGTGTGGGTCGCTGAGGAAGAGCCGCCGAGATGAAGGTGAAGATGCTGAGCCGGAACCCGGACAACTATGTCCGTGAAACCAAGTTGGACTTACAGAGAGGTGGGACGCCCTTCGCGAATCCTGGGGTCTGGCCTCGGTGTCCACAGAGTGGAAGTCAGGGGGAACCCAGCGTCCCAGTCTTGTTCTTTCCCAGTTTCCTTTGCCAAGGCAAGCTTTGACAGCTAGGGCCATTACGGAACCGAGTAGCGGGTACTGTCGTTTCAGATTCTTTCCCAAGAATTTCTTCGGGTTTGGAGTGGGAAATACTGGTCATTTTCTGTATGGGGAATACTTCCGTCTCCCCCATGTCCTGCTGTTGCATTCTGTCCTCAGGTTCCTGTATTCGAAGTGGAATTTGGGCCAAACTCGTGGGTTAAAGGATTTAAGAATTAAACGGGCTTCTTTAAATCTTCCTGTTGCTCTCACTCCTGGCCACTTTACCACTTCACTTTACATCCTTATGGATGTGGAAGAGGGAACGACGAGATTCAAAGCTGTCAGTTTTCTCTTATCAACAGTTCTTACCGAAAGTTTGAGGGGAAGATGAATGAGATATATTAATGAGATATATTTATCCTTACTGCTCTGCTCTTCCAAAATCAATCTGACCACTTAGGAATGGTAGCTTATGATGCCTAAATGGCTAGGAGCTAAGCTTGTGTGAGCAGACCATTCCCAGTGAAGAGACTAGCAGGTGCAAAGGTCTTTAAGTCAAGAATGAACTCAATGCATAGCAAGAAGGGCCATGTCATTGGCGTGTAAATGAGGGGTTGGTGGTAGATGAAGCTGGAATGGCATTTCTTTTTATTTTTTTTAATAGGTTTATTTAGTTATTCGAAAGGCAGAGTTACAGAGAGGCAGAGAGAGAGGTCTTCCATCCGCTGGTTCACTCCCCAATTGGCTGCAATGGCCAGAGTTGTGCTGATCCGAAGCCAGGAGCCAGGAGCTTCTTCCAGGTCTCCCACACAGGTGCAAGGGCCCAAGCACTTGGGCCATCTTCTACTGCTTTTCCAAGCCATAGCAGAGAGCTGGATGGGAAGTGGAGCAGCCAGGACTCGAACTGGCGCCCATATGGGATGCCGGCACTGCAGGTGGTGGCCTTACCTGTTGTGCCGCAGCACCGGCCCTTGGAATTAGCATTTCACTATTTTAATTGAGTAATAGAGATTATCAGTGTGTATGTGAGGATTGTAAGGGGTAAATATGATTTCTGCTCACAAGATGTTTACAGGGTAGGTTTACGTAATAGGAATGTTTCTCAAATGCAAATTTGTCACTTAAACTTGACATCATCCCTCCTCCTGGCACCTCTCTGGTCCCTTCTTCATGTCTACTTTCACCAGCCACTACTTTCTCCACAGGTAACTTAGATTCACCCTGGCCAGAGAGAGTGCATTTAGGCATTCTCTTTTACGCTTCCTGTGGCACGTACCCTTACCCAACTTGTCTACTTCCTCAGGAAAACGCCTCTGAATGGCCCTCTTTTACCTATATGCATATTCCCTCCGCCACTTAACAGCCCCTTCTTTGCTTCCATCATATGTTTTTTTTTACAGGCAGAGTGGACAGTGAGAGAAAGAGAGACAGAGAGAAAGGTCTTCCTTTGCCGTTGGTTCACCCTCTAATGGCCACCATGCTGCGGCCGGCGCACCGTGCTGATCCGATGGCAGGAGCCAGGTACTTCTCCTGGTCTCCCATGGGGTGCAGAGCCCAAGCACTTGGGCCATCCTCCAATGCACTCCCGGGCCACAGCAGAGAGCTGGCCTGGAAGAAGGGCAACTGGGACAGAATAGAACCCGTGTGCCAGCGCCACAAGGCGGAGGATTAGCCTAGTGAGCAGCGGCGCCGGCCCCCATCATATGTTTTTAACGCTTCTGTCAGAGTGTTTACCACGTTGTCTTATGATCTTTATTTTGATTAACACAGGCTTTCCCATCAGAATAAGCTTACAAGAGGGGAAGAATCCTTTTCATGTATGCACTATGTTTATTTAGTCAGCAGCTGGCACATATGGTTGCTTTATAAGTGTTTGAATGAATGGGTGACTGCTTATCATGAAATTTCAGTGTTTGGAAGTTGTTAGACTTCTAGTCTTTTTTTTTTTTTTTTTTTTGCCAGAGTCAGACAGTGAGAGAGAGAGTGAAAGAGAGAAAGGTCTTCCTTCCATTGGTTCATCCCCCAAATGGTCGCTATGGCCGGCACGCTGCCTGGATCGAAAGCCAGGAGCCAGGTGCTTATCCTGATCTCCCACGCGGGTGCAGGGCCCAAGCACTTGGGCCATCCTCCACTGCACTCCCGGGCCATAGCAGAGAGCTGGCCTGGAAGGGGGGCAACTGGGACAGAATCCAGCGCCCCAACCAGGACTAGAACCCGGTGTGCCGGCGCCGCAGGCGGAGGATTAGCCTAGTGAGCCGCCGTGCCAGCCAGGCTTCTAGTCTTGATTTCTGTAACATATCCCTGTTTTACTTTCTGGTGGAAATGTTGATAGCAAAATGGAAGAATAAAGTTTTGGGGTTCTGTAAAAGGAGACATTTTATTATCTATTCATTTGTTTTTGTTTTGTTTAAGTGTTATTTCCTTGTAGATGTTGTGTGATACCAGATACTGGAATAGAGACCAAGGAATCTATATTTTTAAAACTGCCTTGGTAATCCTGAGGTGGCTGGTTAACTGTTGTTGACACCTGACATAAATGTTGGGTTTACATAGGTTTGGATGAGAGTTAGAACATGTCCTTGGTGGAAGAAATGGCATGTACAGGGACTCTAAAGTGATAAAACTATAAGGCAGTTTTAGGTTACAGGGAATAAACCAGTTTGGCTGAACCTGGGCCTTAGAAAGGACTTGAAATTGGAGAGATGAATTGGAACCAGATTCTAGAAGACCAGAGAAGAGCTTGGGGGTGGGCATTTGTTGCAGGCAGGGGTGAAGACACTGCCTGAGACACCCACATTCCATCAGAGTGCCCAGGTTCGAGTCCTAGTTTGGCTTCTAATTCCAGCTCCCTGCTGCTGTACACCCTCTGAAGCAGCAGGTAATGGCTCAAGTACCTGGGGTCCTGACATCCTTGTGGGAGACCCAGAATGAATTCTGGGCTCCTGGCTTTGACCTGGCCCAGCGCTGGCTCTTGCAGCATCTGGGGAGGGAACTAGCAAATGGAAGATCTCTCTCTTTGTCTTTCTGCTTTTCAAAGAAATCAAAATAAAGGAGTTTGAACTTTATTCTGTAGGTCAGAAGTGTATAAATTGGTTATCTTGGGTGTGTTGCAAAAACAGTAAGAATTTCAGGGCTTTTTTTCTTTCTTAAGAAAGCAAATTAATCCTTATATAATACTTGGATTAACACCGACATCCTCATCTCTGGGTTATGTTAAATACATGTGCTCCATATAATAATTCATGCATCCTGGGAAAAGAATATTGAGTTGACAAAGGTGTGCTTGCTTCCACCATTAGGTTATTGTAGCATTTTACAGTTTAGTTTATTAGAGGATAATAGTATTTTTTTGTTTGTTTGAAAGGAAGAGTTACAGAAAGGCAGAGCCAGAGAGAGAAGAGAGATCCTCCATCTGTTGGTTCACTCCCCAAATGGCTGCAACAGCCAAAGCTGGGCCGATCCAAAGCCAGGAACCAGGAGCTTCTTCCAGGTCTCCCACTTGGGTGCAGGGGCCCAAGGACTTAGGCCATCTTCCGCTGCTTTCCCGGGCACATTACCAGGGAGTTGAAATGGAAATGGAGCAGCGGGGACTCAAACTGCTGCCCTTTTGAAATGCTGGCACTGCAGGCAGCGGCTTTATCTGCTAAGCCATAGTGCTGGCCCTGATAATATCTTTTTTTTTGAAGATTTATTTGTTTATTAGAAAGAGTTATAGAAAGGCAGAAGCAGAGAGAAAGATAGGTCTTCCATCTGTTGGTTCACTCCCCAGATGGTCGCAATGGCTGGAGCTAGACTGATCCAAAGCCAGGAGTCAGGAGCTTCTTCTGGGTCTCCCACGCAGGTACAGGGGTCCAAGGACTTGGGCCATCCTCTACTGCTTTCCCAGGTCATAGCAGAGAGCTGGATTGGAAGTAGAGCTTCCAGCATTCAATTCAGCACCCTTATGGCATGCCAGCACTGCAGGTGGCAGCTTTACCTGCTATGCCACAGCACCAGGCCCGATCATATTATCTTAAATACAGTAGTCTTTGTGATAATGTGTAAAGTGATAAGGGGGACCATAAAATTTTTCTTCGTGTAGAAGTTCCTTGGTTATGTCATGCCAAAGTTCTTAACAAGAGTTATAGAACATAATGATGTAGAAAGCATTTCTTAATTTGCCAAACTCTTCTGTGGCTTAAAAATGATAAGATTTTTGACTTTTGCTTTTTGTTACTTTTTAGAAAAAAGTAAAACTTTTTCCTTCAGAGTTTATTTTAATGTTGAATGAGAAAGTGATTACTTTTAAAAAAATCTTGTGCTATGAAGAAACACGTTTATCTGTACTAATTGTTATTTTATTTTTGACAGGCAGAGTGGACAGTGAGAGAGAGAGACAGAGAGAAAGGTCTTCCTTTGCCGTTGGTTCACCCTCCAATGGCCGCCGCGGCCGGTGCGCTGCGGCCGGCGCACCGCGCTGATCCGATGGCAGGAGCCAGGAGCCAGGTGCTTTTCCTGGTCTCCCATGGGGTGCAGGGCCCAAGCACCTGGGCCATCCTCCACTGCACTCCCGGGCCACAGCAGAGGGCTGGCCTGGAAGAGGGGCAACCGGGACAGAATCCGGCGCCCCGACCGGGACTAGAACCCGGTGTGCCGGCGCCGCTAGGCGGAGGATTAGCCTAGTGAGCCGCGGCGCCGGCCCTATGAAGAAACTTTTAAAAATATATGCTTGGAAATATTTACATCACTTAAAATACTTTGTATTGACAATGATGAAGGTTTGTAAAAATATAAAGATTCATTTTTGTCTCCATAAAAATGGGAACACAATAGGCTGCCTTATTGGCTTTTTGAAAATTAAAAACTGTTTATTAAAATTATGACAATACCAGATTGTTGCAGGAACAGCTGTTGACATCAGAGAGATGGCTATTTTCCAGACACACCTCAGAATAAGTTTTGTGGGGCCAGTGTTGTGACGGAGCAGACAAAGCTGCCACTTGGGACACCAGCATCCCATATGGGCACTGTTTTGTGTCCCAGCTGCTCCACTTCTGATCAGGCTCCCTGCTGATGGCCTGGGAGCAGCAGTGGAAGATGGCCCAAGTTCTTGGTTCCCTGCCACCCAGGTAGGAGAACCAGTGAAGCTTCTGGCTCCTGGCTTTGGCCTGGCTCAGCCCCAACCATTGTGGCTACTTGGGGAGTAAAACAGCAGATGGAAGATCTCTGGCTATCCCTCTCTTTCTGTAACTCTGCCTTTCAAACAAATAAATCTTTTTTTTAAATTTTTTTCTTTTTTTAAAAAAAGATTTATTTACTTATTTGAAAGGCAGAGTTACAGAGAGAAAGGAGAGTGATGGAATAAGATATTCCATTCGCTGGTTCACTCCCCAGTTGGCCTGGGCCAGGTTGAAGCCAGGAGCTTAGAGATTATTCTGGGTCTCCCTTGTGGGTGAAGGGACCCAAGCACTTGGGCCATCTTCCAATGCTTTCCCAAGAGCATTAACAGGGAGCTGGATTGGAAGTGGAGCAGCCACTTCTCAAACTGGTACCCATATGGGATGTCCCAGGTAGTGGCTTTACCTCCTGTGGATAATGCTGGCCTCGTAAATCTTAAAAAAAAAAGAAAGAAAGAAAAAGAACTTTTGCAAAACTAGTGGATTGGACTGAAAATTAAATATACTCAAATAAAGGTAGCTAACCATGGACATTATCTCTTCGATCTGCTCGTCTTTGTGAAGTCAGTCCATCCTTGCTTTGCACAGAACCACGTCAACTGAACCAGTTCTCATCTGTGAGAGACTCACAGTAACTGAGTCAGATCTATTACCACAGAACTATGCAAAGCAAGGAATTGGTCCCAATTAGCTTGTGCTCCTATTAACAAAGCAGTGTGCAAAAGCTAGTCCTGCCTGAATCTCTTTCAACTATGGCAGCCATTAAAAACAAAGGTTGAAATAAACTGAAATAATCTATCACAGTGTTAAATTGCGATTATTAAAAAGAAATCAAACTCTCAGTAAATATCCATATGTTGAGAGGAGGGACTTAAAAACTCTATTACTAATGGGCCACATAATCAAAAAAAAATTTGGAAACTACTACTGTGGGGACCTTCGAAAGTTGTTGAGCCTGGGACTGACATGTTAAAAGCCATGTGTTAGGGTGATTAATCTGATAATATAAGCTGCCACCAAGTTGAATAGGGATGATATTACAGTAGTCCACATATAAGGTAAGGGCCAAAACTAGGTGGCTAAGGAAAAATGAATTAGTATTTCAAAAAAACATGAGTATAACTTTGATTTTGGTATTGGGAAGTATTGAAGATAGAATATGTAACAGTGAACAAAGTCTCAGCGTTTCTGTACGTTGACTACAATGTGCCATTAACAGAGTCAGAAGAAACAACAGGGAGACATGCTGGGGAAAGAAGATGCATTTACTTTTACACATTGAGGTTTTTTTTTTTTTTTTTTTTTTTTTTTTAAGATATGTGGACTTAGAATTATTTCCTAAGTAAATATTAGCTGAGACAGCATGTTTGGCAGCATACCAGAATAGTTTAAAAACATGGTTTCTGGAGCCAAACTGCCTTGATTAGCATCCTGGCTCTATCGCATGGGCAAGTTACTTCACTTGTATATGCCTCAGTTTTCCTGCCTATTAGGTAAGAGAAAAATAGAACTTAACACATAGAGTGCTGTGGGGATTAAATACCAATAAGGTATTTGGAACAGTACTGACGCCTGATGAACTGTGTGTTTGTATTTTAAGTAAACATTCATGGAAAGTGCTTAATAAAGAGCAATTATATAATATAATTATAACCACAACATTATATCAGTAGTGCTCAGCACCAGGGATTAATAGTGTTCTAGGCCCCACAAGGAGCTTAAAGTTCAAATGAGTGAACACTTAGCTTGCACTTGCCTTGTGCCACACACTGTACTAGGTTTAAGGACAATAAATGAAGATTATTGGAAACCCTGACCATGAGAATGTAAAACTTAGTTAAAGAGTATAATAGGTCATATGAAAAAAAATCTGTGTTTGTATATTTTCTAAGAAGTGTATAATAGAACATAAAAAAGGAAAAGCTGTGTGTATGTGTGTGTAGTCTAATTATTTTATAAGATGTATACATTCCATTTTATGGTGATTTTGAAAGTTTTCTGGGGATAGATGTTATACTTTTGTATTCTTCATGTTAATTAGCATTGAACAGAGTCCCTAATTAAAGGCTTATTGATTAATAAATTGAATGTTTAGCTGCAAAACACCATGAGAAATATAAAATGTGAATTATTTCATTTAGAGGAATCATTCTTATTTCAGTTCCAAGAAACTATGATCCTACCTTACACCCTTTCGAAGTACCACGAGAATACATAAGAGCTTTAAATGCTACCAAACTGGAACGGGTATTTGCAAAACCATTCCTTGCTTCCCTGGATGGTCACCGTGATGGAGTCAATTGCTTGGCAAAACATCCGAAGAGCCTGACTACCGTCCTTTCTGGGGCATGTGATGGAGAGGCAAGTGTCATTCTAAATACTGATACTTAAAACTCAAAGTAGTTAGATTTCAAGTGTTTTATGTTTTAGTTACTGTGATTTTTACTTTGACTTCAGGTTAGTTCTCAAGACTAAATTCTGTTTGAAATAGTTTAGTAGTTTCTTATCTAACCTAAGAAATTATAAATGGAGTACCTTAAGGCTTAGTTTGACAGTAAGTAAAATAATTTTTTATTTTAAGATTTACTTATTTATTTGAAAGACAGACAGAGAGAGGGGAGAGGCAGAAAGAGAGGTCTCCTATCTGCTGGTTCACTCCCCAAATGGCTGCAACAGCTGGAGCTGGGCTGATCTGGAGCCAGAAGCTTCTTCCAAGTCTCCCACATGGGTGCAGAAGCACAAGCACTTGAGCCATCTTCTGCTTTCCTAGGCCATTAGCAGGGAGCTGGATCAGAAGAGGAGTAGCCAGGACACAAACAGGTGCCTATATGGGATGCTGGCCCCGCAGGTGAAGGCTTAACCTACTACACCATAGCGTTGGCCCCGGTTTGTTTATAATAAAGATATTTATGTGAGTTTTTCCCACAAAGGTTGTTATTAGTGATTCAACACTCATTTTTCTACTCTGGCTGGGAAAAAAGTTGTCAAACATTTTAAAGGAGAATCAACAGAGATTTGACAGATTGAGTTTTCCGTGTGTGGATATATTTATCCATCTGTATTGTATTATTTTAATCCAAAGGATTTTGCTTTTAGCTGTCTGGTAGAGTGATTCATAGCCTTTCTAGTGTTTGTTTTTCTTTAAATGTAATATTCCTGTGCCTGAACATTTTACATTTCCTGATATACTTTATTATAGGTTAGAATTTGGAACCTGACTGAACGAAAATGTTCTCGTGCAATACAAGCGCATGAAGGTTTTGTGCGAGGAATGTGTACACGCTTTTGTGGAACTTCCTTTTTTACTGTAAGTAATTCCATCAAGTCATCAAATCTTTCCAACATATGTAAGATTGAACAATTTATTTTTCAGTTCATTTTTTTGTTCCAATGCCCTTTTGCAGATTTGTGATATCAAATAGGTTCATAAACCTTGAAAAAGCCTAGCTTTCTAAGTGTACTGTTCAGTGACAGTAAGTTCATTTGTTGTTGTAGTCATTACTGCAATCCATCCTCAGTACTTTTTCATCTTTCCAAACTGAAACTCTGTCCATTAAACAATTACCTCCCCATTTCCCTGTGCCCTCTGCCATTGATAACTTCTATTCTACTTTCAGCTATGAATTTGACTATTCTGTGTACCACATAGATGTAGAATCATACAATTCTTTAGTGTGTATGAATAAGTCTCTAATTTTTTTTTAAATAAACCTTTTGTGTCTGTTTTATTTCACTTAGCATATTGTCTTCAACTTTCATCCATGTTGTGGCACATGTCAGAACATCCTTTCTTTTTAAAGCTGAACCATAATTTCATTCTATGAATAAAGTATGTTTTATTCATTTGTTCATTTATCAATTTACATTTGGTTTGTTTTGGTTATTATGAATAGTGCTGCTATGAACATGAGTGTACAAATACCAGTTCTATTTCATTGAGTATTTTAACAGGGAAACAGCAGAATCAGCACTGTGCTTTGAGATGATTAATTTGACAACTGTGAATGATCAGTTTGAAGGCTGTTTCAGTAGTCTCTGCAGGCAATAATAGGCTACATAGGTATGAAAACAGTTGAAAGTAAGGTTGGATTTGGAAATTTCTAGAGGCTTGTGATCTGAGAGGTGCCTAGGAAAGTGATGATTCCTTTTTCAGAAAAAGGGAAAGCAAGGGTAAGAGCAAGTTTGCCAAAGAATGGATGGGGGCTGGCTCTGTGGCATGGTAGGTAAAGCCGCTACCTGCAGTGCCAACATCCCATATGGGCACTGGTTCGAGTCTCAGCTGCTCTACTTCCGATCTAGCTCTCTGCTATGGCCAGAGAAAGCAGTAGAAGATGGCCCAAGTCCTTGGGCCCCTGCACCCATGTGGGAGACCCCAAGGAAGCTTCTGGCTCCTGGCTTCCGATCGGTGCAGCTCTGACATTCAAATAAATTAAAAAAAAAAAAAAAATGGGAGTGAGAAGGGTAGAATGTGGTGAGCTGGACTGACAGTAGGCTGTATGATCGAAAATGTCTATCAGACCTTTACAGATGCAGGTCTGGAGCTCAGGAGGGAAATCACAACTGAATTGGCACCATCAATATAGAATCTTTGAGAGGAAGAGAAGGGCAAAAATATAGAAAAACAAAGGTGTCAGGGAAGTAGTCTTGGGAATGCTCTCCCTAGGAAGTGGGAAAACTGGAGGAGTAACCAGAGAGCTTGAACAGCCTATGAATGAGCATAATGTCCCAAGAGAAAGTATGAGTTTTGTGAACGGCTACAAGGATGATAAAGATGAAGACAAGAAAACATTTTAGGGATATGGGCAATGTGGACATGTAGAAAATAGTTAAAGATCCTGTAATTCCGTTCTTTCAAATCTAATACCATCAGTTTGGTGTATATCTTTTCAAATGTTTTACCCCATATATGTAACAGTTTGTGTATACATATACATCAACCAAGGAGTTTTTCCTTTATTCACTGGTCATTTTTTTTTTTTTTAATGTATTGCTTGTTTATTTGAAAGGCAGAGTTACAGAGAGCGAGGGAGAGGCAGAGAAATTTTCCATCATTGATTCACTCCCCAAATGGCTGCAATGGCCAGGACTGTGCCAGGCTGAAGCCAGGAGCCTGGAGCTTCTTCTAGGTCTCCCATGTGGATGCAAAGGCCCAAGCATTTGAGCCATTGTCCACTGCTTTCTCAGATTATTAGTAGAGAGCTGGATTAGAAGAGGAGCAGCCAGGTCTCAAGCTTGGTGCCCATATGGGATGCCAGCATTGCAGGAGGCAGCTTCATTGGCTGTGCCACTATGCTGGCCCCTCACTGGTGATATTTTTTTTTCTTTTTAAGATTTATTTATTTAGTTGAGAGGCAGAGTTACATACAGACAGAGGGAGAGACCGAGAGGTCTTCCATCTGCCATCTGCTAGTTCACTCCTCAGATGGCCATAACAGCCTGGAGCTGGGCTGATCCAAAGCCAGGAACCAGGATCTTCTTGTGGGTCTCCCATATGGGTGCATCCTCTCCTGCTTTCCCAGGCACATTAGCAGGGAGCTGGATCAGAAGTGGAGCAGCCAGGACTCGAATTGGCACCCATGTGGGATGCTGGCAACACAAGTGGAGGCTTAACCTACTATGCCATAACACTGACCCCACTGGTGACTTTTTGTTTTTTTAAAGATTTTATTTGTTTATTTGAGAGGTAGAGTTATAGATAGTGAGAGGGAGAGACAGAGAGAAAGGTCTTCCTTCCGTTGGTTCACTCCCCAGATGGCCGCAATGGCCGGAGCTGCACCGATCCAAAGCCAGGAGCCAGGTGCTTCTTCCCGGTCTCCCATGTGGGTGCAGGGGCCCATGCAGTTGGGAAAACTGGATTTCCACATGCAGAAGCATGAGGCAACACCCCTACCTTACACCTTACACAAAAATCCACTCAACATGGATTAAAGATCTAAATCTATGACCCGACACCATCAAATTATTAGAGAACATTGGAGAAACCCTGCAAGATATAGGCACAGGCAAAGACCTCTTGGAAAAGACCCTGGGGGCATAAGCAGTGAAAGCCAAAATTAACAATTGGGATTGCCCAGGTCCTTGGGCCCCTGTACCCATGTGGGAGACCTGTAGGAAACTCCTGGCTCGTGGCTTCGGATTGGCCCAGTTCCAGCCATTGCTGCCAACTGGGGAGTGAACCAGCAGATGGAAGACTCACTCTCTCTCCCTCTCCCTCTCTCTCTCTCTCTGCCTCTCCTTCTCTCTCTGTGTAACTCTGATATTCAAATAAATAAATAATTTTTAAAAAAAATACAAACTTAATACTTTTCATAAATACAACTTTAGTAATATAATGATTCTTCCCACCATACCTACACTCCCAACCCTCTTCCTCTTTCCTCTGCTATTCCCATTCTTATTTTTTACTAAGATCTGTTTTCAGTTAACTTTATAAACATATGATTAATTCTACATTAAATAAAGAGTTCAACAAATTATATGACAAAAGAAACTGTTTCTCAACAGTTGAGATAAAGACTGTTCAAAGTGATTGCATCTTGAAGTGTTAATTTCACTTCTGTAGATTACCTTTTAGGTACTCTATTAGTTATAACATATCAGGGAGAACATATGGTATTTGTCCTTTTGGGACTGGCTTATTTCACTAAGTATGATGATTTCCAGTTTTATCCATTTTGTTGCAAATAACAGTATTTCCATTTTTTTTAACCACTGTGTAGTATTCCATGGTGTATATATCCCATTTCTTTATCCAGTCTTCAGTTAATGGACATTTGAGTTGATTCCAAATCTTAGCTATTGTGAATTGAGCTGCGATAAATATGGGGGTACAGTTAACTCTTTCATATGCTGATTTCTTTTCCCTTGGTTAAATTCCCAGGAGTGAAATGGCTGGGTCATATGGTAGGTCTATATTCAGATTTCTGAGGTACCTCCATACTGTAATCCACAGTGGCTGTATCAGTTTACATTCTCACTAACATTGGATTAGGGTACCTTTTTCCCCACATCTTGCCAGCATTTGTTGATTTCTGTATGACAGCCATTCTAACAGGGGTAAGGTGAAACCTCATTGTGGTTTTGATTTGCATTTCCCTGATGGCTAGTAATCCTGAGCATATTTTCATATGTCTGTTGGCCATTTGGATTTCTTTTAAAAAATGCCTGTTTAAGTCCTTTACCGATTTCTTAACTGAGTTGTTTTGTTGTTGAGTTTCTTGATCCCTTTATAAATTCTGATTATTAATCCTTTATCAGTTGTATAGTTTGTAAATAATTTTTCCTATTCTGTCAGTTGCCTCTTCACTGAGTGTTACTTTTGCTGTGCAGAGGCATATCAATTTGATGTTATCCTCTTTGTCAGTTTTGGCTTTGATTACATCTGCCTCTGGGGTCTTTTCCAAGAACTCTTTGCCTATGCCAATGTCTCGAAAGGTTTCCCGAATGTTCTCTAGTAATTTGATGGTATCAAGTCACAGATTTAGATCTTTAATCCATTTTGAGTTGATTTTTGTGTAAGGTATAAGGTAGGGGTCTTGCTTCATACTTCTGCATGTGGACATCCAGTTTTCCCAGCACCATTTGTTTAAGAGACTGTCCTTGCTCCTGGGGTTGATTTTACCTCCTTTGTCAAAAATAAGTTGGTTGTAGATACATGGGTTAATTTCTGGCGTTTCTGTTCTGTTTCATTGGTCTATCCTTCTGTTTTTGTACCAGTACCAGTCTGTTTTGATTATAACTGCCACGTAGTATGTCTTAAAATCTGGTATCATGATGACTACGGCTTTGTTTTGTTGTATAAAATTACTTCAGCTATTAGGGGTCTCCTGTGTTTACATATAAATTTCAGCATTTTTTACTGTATCTGACAAGAAAGTCCTTGGTATTTTGGTTGGTATTGCTTTGAATCTGTTGATTGCTTCACTCATGTACAGATTTCTTTAGTTCATGAATTTGCTTCTGATTGCTTCTAAGTAATCCTATGATCAATTTTTTAATTTCTGTTTCTGGCATTTTGTCAGTCTCTTCATCTTCACATTCCAGTACTGAAGTGTTGTGTTCTTTGGGGGATGTTATGTTGTCTTATTCTTGTTTCTTGATTGCTGCGTTTGTTATTAGGCTTTTGTAGTGATAATTTTTTTTTCCTCTCTTTGATGTCTTTTATCTTTGAACTATGCCTCTGTGGCTTAGTGGAGTGTCTACTCTTTCAGTCAATACCCAGAGGCCTGTTCTGGGTGTTGTCAGGGAGCTCTGCTTAGTGCTTCAGGGTGAGGAGAGTATCCAAGGTGACACCAAGTTGGCTGTGGTAAATCTAATTTTTTTTTTTTTTTTATCAGAGTGGAGGTTTGTTCAGCTCTGTTGTAGTCTCATGCTTAGCTCCTCTCCTCAAAGGTGACCAATGCCTGGATGCTAGCTGCATTGGGTACAGTTTCATCCTTGCTGCAAAAAGAACAATGCAAAGGATCCGTGCAGTCCTTGGTGTGGAAACAGATCCTGAAGCAATGACCCTCTCCAGGGAATCAGGGAGCCCCAAGCATGAGGAGCCGCCCAGAGTGACTGCCCAAAGTTCCAGCCACACTCTGCGCCCTCCCTCAGAGCCACCGTGTTTTCACAGCCCCCTGTCAGTTCTCCCAGCCAGACTTAGGTGTATCTCCTCTTGGGTGGTTACTGGGCACAGCTGTTATGTATGTCTAAAATGGGAGATAGAAATGTGCCTCCCTTTATTTCCCTCTTGGTTGGGAGGTACACTGTCCCCCACAAGACCCAAGCCAGACTTGCGCCAGGCTCTTCCTACAGCTATATTGTCAGTGGCTTGGACTGCTGCAGTCTGGTCTCGCTTCATTTCAAAGCTGGTGCTGAGGCTCTTGACTGCTGGGGTCCTGAGTTGTGCACGTCCACATGCTCCACATAGGTCCACAGTGTCCCTCTAATTTGCATGGAATTTTCTCTGCTGTTTCTCCCTAACTCTTCCCTGAGACTACATTCTATTTTGCCAACTTGACTGTCTTTCTTGCCCTAGTATTTTTTTAAATAATGGTTATTATATAATCTCATGAATGATAATCCTTTATTGCCTAAATTTCTAAGCTGTACCAATCTGTAATATTAATAATATGGACAGGTCCTTCTGCACCTCACCCAGCCTGGAAATGAGGAATTGTTCTAAACAGGCATGTACTCTTGTTTGGCTACTTGTTTCTACAAAACGTTAAAAATTTTGTCAGAATCCATGATCTGCTGAAGCTAATACTCAATAGACTGTGTCGAGCATCTTATTTACAAAGAAGTCTTCAGCTTGTAGACAGTATTTATCAAACGTTGTCTCAGAGAAACCATGTTGCAGGAGAGTGTGCCTAAGGACACAGCTTACCTTGTTTTCTTTACTGAAAAGACCATTGGGTCAAGCTGCATTGCCAGAGACCTGGGTACTTAGATTGCATCCTTTGACTCCCTGAAGAATCAGGTTTCTAGAATTGAGTTTTGGTATGATGCCACTGGCTTAGATTCTGAGTTGTTAATAAGATGTAGTCCTGCCGGCGCCGTGGCTCACTAGGCTAATCCACCTAGCGGCGCCGGCACACCGGGTTCTATTCCCGGTCGGGGCGCCGGATTCTGTCCCGGTTGCCCCTCTTCCAGGCCAGCTCTCTGCTGTGGCCAGGGAGTGCAGTGGAGGATGGCCCAAGTGCTTGGGCCCTGCACCCCATGGGAGACCAGGAGAAGCACTGGCTCCTGCCTTCGGATCAGCGCGGTGCGCCAGCCGCAGCGCACCGGCCATAGCGGCCATTGGAGGGTGAACCAATGGCAAAGGAAGACCTTTCTCTCTGTCTCTCTCTCTCACTGTCCACTCTGCCTGTCAAAAAAAAAAAAAAGATGTAGTCCTGTTAAATACTTTTTGACTATTATAAAGATGTTAAGGATTTTATTCATTTGCATCCTCCACAAAGAATTACTGTTTCGTCTTAGTGTCAAAACCTCCTTTTTAATCACGTACTCTAATCGCATGGACACTGTGAAGTGTTTTGCAGGAAATACTTTTTGAATTTACTGTTTAGGAGCTAAATTTATACTCCTCCCATAGATAAACATGTATTTTTGTTAATACTTTCATGAAAAAATAGATGTAAATTGTAGGTAATATAAACTTTTAAGTGAAAACTAGCAGTATGTATGTATATGGGAGTACTTCAAAAAGTTTATGGAAAAACTGAATTAAAAATATATATTTATTTTGGTGCAAAAACATTTTGAAATCCTTACATAGATTTTTTATTATGTATTTTCCATAAATTTCTAAAGACCCCCTCATACACTTTGTACAGTACCACATTCATGATTATTTTATATTCTTAAGCCCAGATGATGTAATATTATCCATTTGGTATTGCAGCTTATTTCATGTAATATCTTGAATGTATTTGCCAGTTACCTGAGTCTAAATGACCAAACCTGAGTCTAGATGTTGCTTGGGCTTGCTTTGGGCTAAGGTGCCAACAATTCTTCCCAACATCTCTTTTTTCCTATCAATGCAGCTGTCAGCACAGTAAAAAGAAAAGTGATTGCTTTTTTAATATAGTGAAAATGGTTTTCACCCATGGGCCCCTGGAAAGTTCTCAGGTGGTACTCTTTCCAGAAGACTTAACAGTGTGTGGCATTCTGTCTCATGCAGAGAAGGGCTTTGTCTACTCCAGAATTATAAAATTGCTTTCTCTATAGTATTTCTGTGTTTTTTATTTATTTATTTTTTACTTTAAAACTATCTGGAATCTTACTTTCATGGAAGGCATCAGATTCATTCAAACTTTTAAAATGACTAACCTGATATTGTAATACCATTTTACTATAATCCAATTTTCTCCTTAATTCAAAATGCCATCTTTATCAGAATATGCATTTTTGCCATATTTATAACCTAACTTTGCTATTTTTTCTTCTTTTGTGCCACTCTTTATCTTATTTTTAATTTTATATTCTTTAGATATTTGTCACAGATTTTTGCTATAACAAGGTGGGCTATATATCAATCAATAAATATATTGGATGAATATAGTTTGTTTTAAGTAAGATGCTTATAATTTGATATATGTGTTGGTGAGTTTTGATTTATAACTGTTGTTCATTAACATCATAATAAATATTTCTAGGTTGGTGATGACAAAACTGTGAAGCAATGGAAAATGGATGGGCCAAGTTATGGAGAAGAAGAAGAGCCATTGCATACAATATTAGGAAAGGTACAAAAATAAATTCACCCATACTTTGCATGTTAAAATTTTCTCTATAATATTTTATAATTTTAGTTTCCAAAAAGGAAAGTAAAATGACATAAATAAGAATTGAGGCCAGCGCCGCGGCTCACTAGGCTAATCTTCCGCCTTGCGGCGCCGGCACACTGGGTTCTAGTCCCGGTCAGGGCGCCGGATTCTGTCCCGGTTGCCCCTCTTCCAGGCCAGCTCTCTGCTGTGGCCGGGAAGTGCAGTGGAGGATGGCCCAAGAGCTTGGGCCCTGCACCCCATGGGAGACCAGGAGAAGCACCTGGCTCCTGCCATCGGATCAGCGCGGTGCTCCGGCCGCAGCGCGCCACCGCGGCGGCCATTGGAGGGTGAACCAACGGCAAAGGAAGACCTTTCTCTCTGTCTCTCTCTCTCACTGTCCACTCTGCCTGTCAAAAAAAAAAAAAAAAAAGAATTGAGAGAGGGGCTGATGTTGTGATGTAGCAGCTTAAGCTGCTGCCTCTAGTGCCGGCATTCCATATGGGCATCAGTTTGAGTCCTGGCTGCTCCACTTGTGATACAACTCCCTGCTGATGTGCCTGGGAACAGTAGAAGATGGCCCAAGTGCTTGGGCCCCTGAAACAATGTGGAAGACCCAGAAGAAGCTTGACTTTGGACTGGCCCAGCTCTAGCTGTCACGGACATTTGGGGAGTGAACCAACAGATGGAAGATTTCTCTCTCTCTCTCTCTCTCTCTGCCTCTGCTACTCCTTCTCTATAACTTCGCCTTTCAAGTAAAATAAATAAATCTTAAATAAAAGAAATGAGAGGCTTTAGGCTACAACAGTTGACCTATTTTACGTAATATTTAATGTAACTTGGGCGTTTTGCAAGTAAAGAATTTGAACAGTTCTTTGGTATTCATTGTAGTAGAGTTTGAGCTCTGTTTTGAGCTTGAAGATTCAATGATTTTTTTTATAGCAGGGCCACAGAAGAATATTTATGAAGTGAAGTTTGAGATAAATAATGCTTCAGCTTTTGTCATAAATATTAACACAAATATTATAATTTCTTACTTGAAGTAATCTTTTAGGAAATTAAAATATGTGGTAATTTGGTGCTTCTTATATAAATCTTATTTATTTTTTTTGAAGATTTATTTATTTATTTGACAGGCAGAGTTACAGAGAGCCACAGAGAGAGAGAGAGAGAGAGAGAGAGAGGTCTGATTCACTCCCCAGATGGCCGCAACAGCCAGAGCTGCGCCGATCAGGAGCCAGGAGCTTCCTCCAGGTCTCCCATGCGGGTGCAGGGGCCCAAGGACTTGGGCCATCTCCCACTGCTTTCCCAGGCCATAGCAGAGAGCTGGATCGGAAGTGGAGCAGCTGAACAGGAACTGGTGCCCATATGGGATAGCAGCACTGCAGGTGGTGGCTTTTCCCTCTACGTCACAGTGCTGGCCCTGTTTATGTTTCTTATAAATTTTTCTGCAAATCAGATAGCATGGTGATTTAGTCATAGCTTAAGTACAGTTAGAACTTTTGATCTAATTGTGTTTTATAATGCTTACTTTTTTTAGTTTTTTATTTTTTAAAGATTCGAGAGGCAGAATTACAGAGAGAGGGAGAGACAGAGAAGTCTTCCATCTGCTGGTTCACTCCCCAAATGACTACAATGGCCGGGGCTGGGCTGATCAGAAGTCAGGAGGCAGGAGCTTCTTTCAGGTCTCCTAGTGAGTACAAGGGGCCCAAGCACGTGGGCCATCTTCTGCTGCTTTCCCAGGCCATTAGCAGAGAGCTGGATCAGAAGAGGAGCAGCCAGGAAATGAACTGGTGACCATATGTGATGCTGGTGCTGCAGATGGAGGCTTACTATGCCACAGCACTGACCCCTACATTTTTTATTAAGCAGACAAAATTCTTACATGAGATTTAACTCAGGGTGGTATTCAGTATAGCAGTTAAGATGACACTTGGGATACCTTGCATCCCTTATTTGCAGTGCCTGGATTCCAGTCCTGGCTCCGCTCCCAGTTCTACAATGCTGCTAGTGTGCATCCTGGGAGGCAGCAAATGATGACTTTAGTTTTTATGTGAGAGTCTTGGATTGAATTCTGGACTCCTGGCATTGGCCTGGCCAAGCCCTAGCTGTTTCAGGCATTTGGGGCGTGAACCAGTGGATAGAAGATTTTCTATGTCTTTGTCTCTTTACTTTTCAAATAAATAAAAATGAAATAAAATAAAAATTTAAGTGAGAATGGTAAAATTTATACAATAAAATTAGATTTAATATTTAAGCATATCCATTTCAAAAACACCACTTTGTCATTTCAGTAGCATGGGTAATATATATTTAGATTCAGCTTCTGATTTCAAGAATATCTAGGGGCCAGCACTGTGGCACAGTGAGTTAAGCCACTGCCTACAGTGCCAGCATACCATGTGGGCGCTGGTTCAAGTCCCAGGTGCTCCACTTACAATCCAGCTCCCTGCTAATGCACCTGGGAAAACAATGGAGGATGGCCTAAGTCCTTGGACCCCTGTACCTGTGGGTCCAAGATCTTCCTGACTCCTGGCTTCAGCCTGGCCCAGGCTTGGTTGTTGTGGCCCTTTGGGGAGTGAACCAGCAGATGGATGATCTTTCTATGTTTCTCCTTCTCTCACTCTGTAACTCTGCTCTCAAATAAATACATCTTTTTTAAAAAAAATTCTAAATTTATTTTTTAAACAATTATTTTATTTGGAAGGCAGAATTAGAGAGAAAGAAATCTTTTATCTTCTGGTTCATTCTCTAAATGGCTGCAGTAGCCAGGACTGGGCCAGGCCAAAGCCAGGAGTCTGGAATTCTATCCATATCTCCCACATGGGTGCAGGGGCCCAAGTACTTGGGCTATCTTCTGCTGCTTTCTCAGGTGCATTAACAGGGAGCTGGATCAGAAGTGGAGCAGTTGAGGCTGGCGCAGTGGTGTAGCAGGTAAAGCCGCTGCCTGCAGGGCCAGCATCCCATATGGGCACCGGTTCGTGTCCCAGCTGCTCCTCTTCCAATCCAGCTCTGCTATGGCCTAGGAAAGCAGTGGGCCCCTGCACCCACGTGGGAGACCTGGAAGAAGCTCCTGGCTCCTGGCTTCAGATCAGCCCAGCTCAGGCCATTGCAGCCGACTGGGGAGTAAACAAGCAGATGGAAGACCTCTCTCTCTCTGCCTCTCCTTCTCTGTGTAACTCTGACTTTCAAATAAATAAATAAATCTTTAAAAAAAATAAAGAAATGGAGCATCCAGGACTCAAAGTGGTGCTCTCATATGGGATGTCAGCATCACACTTGGCAGCTTAATCGACTGTGCCACAATGCCCGCCTTTAAATGTGCTGAAAGGGACATGAGGGTGGGGTATGAGTATGAGGTGGAAATAACTCTCATGTGGTAACAAATTAGTGTTAATGAACACAAAATTGGTTTCAAAGAAGTTGTGAACAGGAATTTCTTAAAAAATGAGTGCAGATAAATGTATTTATAGTATCCTACAGATTTGAACTAATAAAAAACCCATCTATAACAAACTCTTTGCTTTTAAAGACAGTGTATACCGGCATTGATCATCACTGGAAAGATCCTGTTTTTGCCACATGTGGACAGCAAGTAGACATTTGGGATGAACAAAGAACCAATCCTATATGTTCAATGACCTGGGGATTTGACAGTATAAGTAGTGTTAAATTTAACCCAATTGAGGTAATGTGCTTATTGTTTCCTTGTTATTCTTTATTAATTTTAGCTCCATTTAGGAAGTATGTCCTGCCTATTGTTTTTCTCTTATAATTTCAGCTCTGTAAATTTGTGATATAAGAGTTTTCCAAATTTCAATGATGTCGGCATTTGGTCAGTTTTCCAGATCATATCTGAGTTTTGATACCTTTAGTCAAATCTGAGCATGTTTGCTTGTAGTTGAGTCTCAGGTACCCATGTTAAGTATCATTAAGGAAAAGTGTATGCATGTGCTTGCTCCTGGGGCTAGAATCCAAGCAAATACTGTGCCATTGTTTGTTTTCATATAGGAAGGTTTATTTTGGTTTGATGGTTCTGAAGGTTCAAAGTCCAAGATTGATTGGGCCTCATTGGTTTAGCCTCTGGTGATGGTATTCTTGCTGGCAGATTCTTGCTGGCAGAGTTCTGGGGTGTCACAAAACGTCACATGGCAAGTAAGAGGGAGCACATGTGTCTGTAGTATTAGATTTTAGTTTTGCTCATGTCTTCAACGCTTGTGTTCCAGATTACATCATTGTACTTTTGGGAAAATATTTTTTTGTTATCCCTTGTGGAAGATTGAACATTGTTTCCTTTAGTTAGAAGGGTACCAATGCTTCATGATAATATGCATGGTCATTATTGTACTGCATGATAACTAGTTACAGTCACATTTTTCTTTGCTTGGAAGTCTGAATTATTCCTAGTGCCCTCCAGGTCTAGAGGAGAGTTGGAGGTCAGGCACTAAATATTGTCCATGCAGATCTGAACTTAGGAAAGGAGGCTGCCTTTAAGGCCAGGTTACCCTGAGACTCCAGACTTGCCCCTGAGCTTCTTCTGAATATGGAACAATAGATGAATTCATTGTCCAGAAGACTCAGTAGGGATGTCTTTTTCCTGCAGAAAGAAAAGGAAATAGCTACATGTATAAGCTGATTTTTAAAATTACCAGCAGGGAGGGGTCCGCATTGAAGTATACCGGGTAAGGCTGCCACCTGCAGTGCCAGCATCCCAAATGGGCACCAGTTCATGTGCTGGCTGCTCCACTTATGATCCAGCTCCCTGTTAATGGCCTACAAAAAGCAGCAGAAAATGATCCAAATGTTTGGGCCCCTGTTGCCCATGTAGGAGACTTGGAGGGAATGTCTTGGCTCCTTGCCCAGACTGACCCAGCCCTCGCCATTGGGGCCACTTGAAGTGAACCAGCAGATGGAAAATCTCTCGTCTCTCTCTCTCTGTCTCTCCTTCTCCTTCTGTAACTTTCAAAGTAAGTCTTCAAAAAAATAAAATTATCAGCAGACTACAGTGTCAAGTGGTATAAGAGAAAATCCTGATATGCAGGTTTTCTACTCTCAGAGACCCAAGCTTATAAAAGGAGAGAAGAAAGGTTAAGTCAAGTGACAGGATATAAAAATTGTTCATGTACTGCATTGATAAATGAAGTGCTGCAGGCAACATGAATGGGGTCTTGAGTATTGCTGAGTAGGCAATCGGGGGGACACTCTGCTGCCAGCACATTCCGACATACACAGTTATTTGTGAAGCTATAGGACTAGAGCAGGGGTTGGCAAACTCTAATGGCTGTGAGCCAGATGTGGCCTACTGCCTATTTCTATGAGTAAACTTTTACTAGAACACAGCTGTGCGCTCTTATGTGTTGTCTGTCATTGTTTTTTGTGCCATAATGGCTAAGTTGAGTAATTGCTGTAAAGACCACATGACCCACAAATCTGGAAATACTTATTTTGTGGCCTTATGCAGAAAAAGTTTGCTGATCACTAGACTAGCTTATCTGTCTTTACTGTATCTTTTTCACTGCATCCTCTATCTCCTTTTCCTGTGATCCCTTTGATTGGAGAGGTAAGTAAAGTTCGGCATGGAGGGGCAGGCCAGCTTTGCAGAGCAGGTTCAAGGTGACACTGATCGGAAGCAGGCTACAGGCATAGGCAATTTATGGGAACATTTTATGTCCTACTTGGAGTGGAGCTAAGCCAGAACTGTGTTTCCTGCAAGCGCGCTTTTGCATTAAATCACAAATCTCTATATTTGTTTCTTTATTTTTAAGATGAGATTAATTATATCTCACACAGTGTACTTCACAGGTTCATTGTGAATATAAAATGTGGTAATATATGTGAACTTCTTTTTTATATGCTAAAATTCAAGATGGTGATGTTAGTACTATATGAAAAACAAACCTAGAAAGATATTAATTCCTACTTTAAGAGAAATCTTTTGTTTCTCTATTTTGGTTAACACCTGTGTCAGAAGAATTGATGGCCAATTCTAAAATCATGATTAATTATTACTGATGACCCAGCAACCTTGTTTTCGAAGTTGGCTGTACAATAGCTCTATTTGTACAGCTGTGTTTTTTATTAACCTTATGAACTGACTTAGTGGTAAAAGCAAATGGTGTGCAAGTCTCTTATCCTATATTAATCTTAATAGAAAGGGCACGTTGCTGTGAACAAATGGAGTGTATTTGTCTCCTCTAATCATTAATTATTAATTTTCTGTTAAAATATTGAAGCCTAGAATTCTGGTAAAGGTAAAAGTTCATGCTCCGAATTGCCACATTTTACAAAGTGAAAGTCAGCGCCCAGTGTAGGTAGAATTTTTTGTATTGCTTGAATCAAAATAGAATTTGGTCAGAAATGAGAAGCCAAAAAATGTTGAAAGGCATCACTAGGAGAAGTGTCAGAGATACAATAAAAGAAGTGGCTTTTGGGAAAGACTAAGGAAAGATTGTGATTGTAATATTAGCTTTATGATATTTTATTTGAACTATGTACACAGTAGTGGGAGTTGGCTGGCCATACTGCTCTTTACTAAATAACTTGTTCTGTTCCTCCTATGCTTGGAGTAGATAGTGGTAAAGAGCAGAAGCAGAGTTGTGTCAGCAGCCATGAATGAAGACAAATGGTACAGTTGTGGGCTGTTTTTTCTTAATGTCAAGGGTTACATAGTAATTGACTTTCCAAATAAATATTTTACACATCTTAAAACAGTTGAGCAGGAGCTGGTGCAGTCACGTAGTGGGTAAAGCCGCTGCCTGCAGTGCCGGCATCCTATATGAGCGCCGGTTCAAGTCCTGGCAGCTCTCTGCTATGGCCTGGGAGAGCAGTAGAAGATGGCTCAAGTCCTTGGAACCCTGCACCCGCATGGGAGACCTGGAGGAAGCTCCTGGCTCCTGGATTTGGATTGGTGCAGCTCCGGCCATTGAGGCCAATTGGGGAATGAACCAGCAATGGAAGACCTCTCTCTCTCTTTCTGCTTCTTCTCTCTCTGTGTACCTCTTTAACTCTTTCAAATAAATAAAATAAAAATCTTTCCAAAAAACATTGGCAAAGCATTGGCCTATTTTATATAGAGACAGCATAAGGAAATGTTTACTGGTAAAGCAATACCTTTATGTAATTAATTAGGAAAGTTTCAGACCAATACTAACTTTTAAATGATACAACCTGAGGCTACCCAGTTGCAATAAAGTTGACGTGTTCCTAATTGTGTATATTGGCACAAGTTCTTTGGAAAATAATTAGCCCTAAATGTCGAAAACCATGATGGCTTTTGATTTAGTAATGTCACTCTTGAAATTTTAAAATAAGGAAATAATTCAAAAGAAGAAGAAGTAAATGTATGAAAGAAATGTTTATTGAAGTGTTAATTTGTAATAGCAAAAAGTAAGAAACAAGTCTAAGAGTCTAAGTTGAATATGGGTAAATAAAGTATGTTCTATTACAAATTAGAATGCACTGTATCCATGCACTATCATTACCTGCATCTGAAGTACATACACAGAGATTTGATTATGAAATTACTTGGCTTATTTGCTGAGATTATGGATTTATCATGTCCTCTTAAAATGGGCTTTGATGTTAGAATTTGGTACCTTAGCCTGGTGTTAATGATGATTAAATCATCTCCCCACCCCCGTTTCTTGCCCTTCCTGACCTGTAACTGGTGATTGTTATACTTATTTGCAGACATTTCTTTTGGGAAGTTGTGCTTCTGACCGGAATATAGTGCTATATGATATGAGGCAGGCTACTCCTCTGAAAAAGGTGAGCTTCTGTTTTGTCTTTTGCTTTTCACACTTAATGCATTCCTTTACTAACCAAGTGACTGGTTCCTCTATAAACTGAGTGACTGAAGACACGGAGCAAATGTTTTTTCATAATTAAATTTTTTATTCACCCAGATGTTCTTAGAACCCAAAATGATAATGGCATTCTCTCACTTTCCATTGCTTTTTGGAGACCCTTGCATTTCCAGCAATTCTTATATCTTAATATTTGTGTCTTCTATGATGCCAATAAAATTTAGGTACGTAATTAGTACTTACTGAATTGAAAGTCCTTAGATTAAAGGTATTGCATTCCAGTTCTTAACAGTTCTTCAGGCCCTATGATCATCCTATAATATGTACAGTATTTTATTCCAGAAAGTTTTAGAACTCATTCACAAAACCAGCTTTATTTGTTTAATTTCATGCTGATGGGTACTAGCTTGACATTTGGTTTGACAAACACTATCCTGTTCAAGGTGACAGATTTCCCAACAGTTCTAAGGTGGTCATTCTAGGACTTAGGGATCAGAGCAAATATAAGCTCAAGCCAGCTCTCCTGAGGGAGAGACTTAACCATCTAAAGTTACAAGGGGTGCTGTTTTAAGTAAAAGGGTGTAAGTTTGATTTCGGGGCCGGCGCTGTGAGGTAGCAGATAAGACCGTCGCCTGCAGTGCCAGCATCCCATATAGACGCCGGTTCGAGTCCCAACTGCTCCACTTCTGATCCAGCTCTCTGCTATGGCCTGGGAAAGCAGTGGGAGATAGCCCAAGTCCTTGGGCCCCTGCACCCGCGTGGGAAGACCCAGAGGAGGCTCCTGGCTCCTGGCTTTGGATTGGTGCAGCTCCAGCTGTTGCGGCTAATTGGGGAGTGAACCAGCAGATGGAAGACATCTCTCTCTCTTTGCCTCTCCTTCTCTCTCTGTGTAACTCTGACTTTCAAATAAATAAAAGCAAATCTTTTATAATTAAAAGAAGATTCATCTTTTTAAAAAAAAAGTCTGATTTTTTTTTTTTGACAGGCAGAGTTAGAGAGAGAGAAAGGTCTTCTTTCCATTGGTTCATCCCCCAGATGGCCACCACCGCCGGCGCGCTGTGCCAGTCCGAAGCCAGGAGCCAGGTGCTTCCTCCTGGTCTCCCATGCGGGTGCAGGGCCCAAGCACTTGGGCCATCCTCCACTGCCTTCCTGGGCCACAGCAGAGAGCTGGACTGGAAGAGGAGCAACTGGGACAGAACCTAGCACCCCAACCAGGACTCGAACCCTGGGTACCGGCACCTCAGGTGGAAGATTAGCCAAGTGAGCCGTGGCACTGGCCTAAAAAGTCTGATTTTAAGTACTAGAATTGTGTGGTCACAGGAAGGGCTAGATAACATTTGTGTGCCATGAGTCCATTGTTATAGTCCACATAAAAAGGAGATACTTTTAATACTTTGTTTTATTTTTCTAAATAATTTTCATAGCATGTAGTAAACAGAAATGTTAGGAGTATATTCATTGAAGTCTAATGGATAAATAAGATAATCTTTCCAGAATATCACTTTAATTATTTCACGTATTCATGTGATTCTGTGAGAAGATCCTGCATGAACTTAGTAAGCAGGTAAACTTAACCCATTTTTCTCCTATAAAACGGCAGTATTAGTAAGCACCTTGCAGCCAGTGGCGAGAACAAAACATGATACCTTTGACCATGTCACAGAGTGCTGACACCAAGTTCTAGTTTAATTAATGGACATTTCTGCCCCTCCTCATTCCCCTTTCTCAGTTTTTAATGATACTCTGTTATTTTGAAGTTGAAGAAAAGAACTGTAGCCTGGCTTTCAAAGCTTTCCAAAATCTTGTCTCACTTGACAATCCATTTTATTTCATTCAGTAAGGCAACATTTCATTGAGATTTGTCAAATTCAATTCAGATCACTATGGGTTTTTTTTTTTTTTTTTAATGTCATATTCTTAGACACTGCTACTTTCTATTTGTTGTTGTTGTACTATCTAGTAGGCTATTAGTGTTCTATCTTTTCTAAATGTAAAAGTTCTCAATCAGGGATTGTATTTCCCCACAAGGTGTAGTTCTGAAAGTGTTTGAGGGACATTTAGTGAATAAGATGTCCGAGAAGCTAAGCATCTTACAGTAGACAGTTACACATACAGAATATCCTACCCCAAAATGCCAATCGTGTTCCAATGAGAAGCACTATGAATTACTCATCCTCCACAGGTCATTTCAAATCATGCTTGTTTTTTGAAACATTTCTCTGCTTTAAACATAAGCTCACCATTAATTTTGCTTCTAATTTGATAGTCGTTTGTTATTTGTTTTTTCTTAATGTGTGTCTCATCTTCCTTACTAAACGATAAGTTATTTTAGGTTAAGGGTCTAAATATGAAGCATTTTTCCATTTTTCATGTTTACCACTTTGTGTTATATTCAGGAAAAGTTATTGATTTCCTATTACATCAAACTGAGTGCTTTGCACACAATAGGTGTTTGCTAAATATTTGCTTAAATCAATGAGGAAAAAAAAAGAAATGAAGTAGGAAATAACATCCATTCTGAAGGTAATTAATATCATGATAATGGAATAGTATATTCTTCCTTTCCCAGGTTATCTTGGATATGAGGACAAATACAATTTGTTGGAACCCTATGGAAGCTTTTATTTTTACTGCAGCAAATGAAGATTACAAGTAAGTTTCTCCATTTCTATCAGTAATGCCTCAATTGCATAAGTCTTATTAAATAAATATATTTCTTTTTTGTTTTTGGTTTTTTTTTGGTTTTTTTTGTTTGTTTGTTTGTTTGTTTTGACAGGCAGAGTGGACAGTGAGAGAGAGAGACAGAGAGAAAGGTCTTCCTTTTGCCATTGGTTTACCCTCCAGTGGCCGCCGCGGCAGGCGCACCGCGCTGATCCGATGGCAGGAGCCAGGTACTTCTCCTGGTCTCCCAGGGGGTGCAGGGCCCAAGCACTTGGGCCATCCTCCACTGCACTCCCTGGCCACAGCAGAGAGCTGGGCTGGAAGAGGGGCAACCAGGACAGAATCCGGCGCCCCGACCGGGACTAGAACCCGGTGTGCCGGCGCCGCAAGGCGGAGGATTAGCCTATAAATAAATATATTTCACTAGGTAAGGATACCTTCACAAATCAATTTTTTTATTTTTGCTAAAAATAAGTTTTCAAGTTGGAAAAGAGCTTCTTAGAAAGCTGTTGTCTTGGGGCTAGAGATGTGGGATAGTAGGTTAAGCACCTCCTGTGGCACCAGCGTTCCATATGTGCACCAGTTTGAGTCCCAGCTGCTCTACTTCCAATTCAGCTCCCTGCTAATGGCCTGGGAATACAGGGGAAGATGACCCAAGTGCTTGGGCCCCTACACCCATATCAGAGACCCAGAAAAAGCTCCTGGCACCTGGCTGCTGGCTCCTGGCTCCTGGCTTCAGATCAGCCCAGCTCTGGCCATTGGTGCCATTTGGGAAGTGAACTAGCAGATGGAAGACCTCTGTCTCTGTAACTCTGCCTCTCAAATAAATAAATAAATCTTTAAAAATAAAAAAGAAAACTGTTTTCTTAGTTTTCAGAATGATATTGTCTAGGGACAATAACCAAATCTTACCTGTTGCTGTTTTTATAAACCTTTATTGTACTATGGCCACACCCATTCAGTTTTGTTTTAGATAAGCTGCTTTTCTGGTTCACCATCTGGATTGAATGATTGCAGCAGAGACTGAGGCTCACTTGGCTAAAAATGTTTATAATCTGGCCATTTGCAGAAGTTGTCTGATCTCTGATGTTGTAGTGGAAATGAAAATAGCTGTCTACAGTATTTGTAGCTGATACATAAGTACTCATGTTATTAGCTCTCACTGTTACTTCTTTAAGGTGAAAGGAAAATTATAGTTTAAATTTTTATTATTTATTTTAAGATTTTATTTATTTATTTGAAAGGCAGAGTTACAGAGAAACAGAGTCATAGAGAGAGAGAGAGAGAGAGAAAGGTCTTCCATCTGCTGGTTCACTCCCCAGATGGCCACAATGGCCAGAGCTGAGCCGATCTGAAGCCAGGAGCTTCTTCTGGATCTCCCACACAGATGCAGGGGTCCTTACTTGGGCCATCTTCCACTGCTTTCCCAGGCCATAATAGAGAGCTAGATCAGAAGTAGAGCAACCGGGACTTGAACCAGCTCCCATACGGGATGCTGGCACTGCAGGCGGCGCCCTTACCTGCCACACCACAGTGCCGGCCTCTGTTTCTGTATTTATTTATTAATTTTTTTAAAGACTTATTTATTTATTTATTTGAAAGTCAGAGTTACACACAGAGAGGAGAGGCAAAGAGAGAGAGGTCATCCATCCGATGGTTCACTCCCCAGTTGGCCAATCTGAAGCAGGAGCCAGGTGCTTCTTCCAGGTTTCCCATGCGGTGCAGGGGCCCAAGGATTCAGGCCATCTTCTGCTGCTTTCCTAGGCCATAGCAGAGAGCGGGATTGGAAATGGGGCACCCAGGTCTCAAACCAGCACCCTTATGGTATGCTGCTGCTTCAGGCCAGGGCGTTAACCTGCTGCGCCACAGCACTGGCCCCTGTTTGTTTGTTTGTTTGTTTGTTTATTTATTTATTTATTTACAGGCAGAGTGGACAGAGAGACGGAGAGAAAGGTCTTCCTTTGCCATTGGTTCACCCTCCAGTGGCACCGCGCTGATCCGAAGGCAGGAGCCAGGTGCTTCTCCTGGTCTCCCATGGGGTGCAGGGCCCAAGCGCTTGGGCCATCCTCTACTGCACTCCCGGGCCATAGCAGAGAGCTGGCCTGGAAGGAGGGGCGACTGGGACTAGAACCCGGTGTGCCCGTGCCGCTAGGTGGAGGATTAGCCTATTGAGCCATGGCGCTGGCCCTGTTTGTTTATTTTTAAAGATTTATTTGTTAGGCAGAGTGAGAGAGAAAGAGATAGACACACACGCGCTCGTGCGCGTGCGCACACACAAACACACACACACACACACATCTTCCATCTACTGGTTCATTACCCAGCACACACAACATCTTCCATCTGCTGATTCATTACCCAAATGGTTGTGAGGGCCGGGTCTGGGACATGCCGAACCCAGGAGCCTGGAACTTCATCCAGATCTCCCGTGTGTGTGGCAGAGGCCCAAACTGGCTATCTTCTGCTGCTTTCTCAGGCACATTAGTGGGGAACTGGATCAGAAATGGAGCAGCTGGGACTCAAACCAGCTCTCATATAATATGCTGGCGTCACACATGGTGGCTTAACCTGCTATACTACGATGCTGTTCCCTATAGTATAAATTTTTTATCCTAATGTTTGCATTTATGTTATTATTTGACTCCATATAAATTTGACTTGGCAGCTTTGTTTCTTGACTTAGATGGAAGTTTATGATTCTTTATACAAGATCATTTCAATAAGTTCGTAGAAAAATTAGATTAAAAGAAAAATTTATTGGGCTAGTGTTGTGGCAGAGTAGCTTAAGCCTCCTCTGCAATGCTGGTACCACGTACAAACAATGTTCCAAACCCTGGCTGCTCCACTTCCAATCCAGCTTCATGCTGATACACAGGGTAAGGCAGCAAATAGTCCAAGTACTTGGGCCTGCCACCCACAAAGGAAAACCTGATGAAGCTCCTCGCTCCTGGCTTTGACCTGGCCCAGCCCCAGCCATTGTGGTCATTTGGAGAGTGAACCAACAAATGAAAGATATGTCTTCCCCCATCCCCCCATCTCTGTGTAACTCTGCCCTTCAAATAAATAATCTTTTTTTTTTTTTTTTAATAAGTGTATTGGATGCACCCTGTGTGGCACAGCAGTTAAGTTACCAGTTGGGATGTTCACATCCCAAGTTGGAATGCCTGGTTGAAGTCCTGGCTACTCTGCTTCTGATCCAGCTTTCTGCTAATGCACACCCTGGGAGTCATCAGGTGATGGCTTGAATGCTTTGGTCCCTGCTGCCCATGTGGGAGACCCAGATGAAGCTCCTGGCTCCTGGCTTAGGCTTGACCTATCCCTGGCCATTATGGCCATCTGGGAAATTAACCAGCAGATGGAAGGGCTCTCTTTTCTGTTTCTCTCTCCCTCCCCTTTTCTGTAACTCTTTTGAATTAATAAATAAATCTTCTTAAAAAATGGCATAAAGGCAATAAAAGGCAAGAGTGAAACAGCATTATTGTGACCAACTTTATTAAGGTATCTATAGTGCATTCCAGTCAGCTGTTTGGGCAGGTTGTCTTTTTTTTTTTTTTTTTTTGACAGGCAGAGTGGACAGTGAGAGAGACAGAGAAAGGTCTTCCTTTGCCGTTGGTTCACCCTCCAATGGCCGCCGCGCTGCAGCCGGCGCATCGTGCTAATCAAAGCCAGGAGCCAGGTGCTTCCTCCTGGTCTCCCATGGGGTGCAGGGCCCAAGCACTTGGACCATCTTCCACTGCACTCCCTGGCCACCACAGAGAGCTGGCCTGGAAGAGGGGCAACCGGGACAGAATCCGGCGCCCTGACCAGGACTAGAACCCGGTGTGCCGGCGCCGCAAGGCGGAGGATTAGCCTAGTGAGCCGCGGCGCCGGCTTTTTTTTTTTTTTAAGTTTCCCTAGAATTTCTCATATGTAATTTGGAATAATTACATATGATGCATGCACAAAAGGAACATGTTTCTTATAAGAAATGATGGTTAAAATACCATCATTGCTCTTACTTGAAAATAATCTTACTTTGATATTTTTTTTTAACAGATGTAAATATTTTGTTTTATTGCCCTTTAATTAATCTAGTAATCCTGAATTGGAAACCCAAGTTTAAGTCTAGACCAACCAGTAATTAAAGAAGGCTGGGCTAGATGATCTCTAAAGAATTCTATAAGTTGGAATTCTGTTTATTTAAACATATTCTATCCAAGTGGATTGATTTGCTTGGAATTTGGATAAATTCTTAGCTTTTTTCCCATGTAGAAATAAAATAGTTTGCTAAAATAAAACTTGTTTGAGAGCCTCTACCTTCAGACTGTAAAGCAGTTTTCAACTCAGATATTAACCTCAAAAAGCAGTTTGATCATGGCTAATGATCTTGTAGTGTTTTGGAAAACTCTTTAAAAAAGAATAGTAATTGGGTTTTTGATGGCATCTATGGCATTTGGGATATTTTATTTTTGGCATCAAATACTTTTCCTGGTAATGGTATTTTTAAAATATTCTTTTAAAATGTTAAGTGTATTAAACATTTAATTTTTTTAAAGTTTATTTATTTGAGAGAGAGAGCAACAGAGTGAGAGAAAAAGACATATATATAAAGAGATCTTCCATTTACTGGTTCGCTCTCTAGATGCAATAGCAAGGGATGGGCCAGGCTGAAGCCAGGAGCCAGGAACTCCATCTGGATCTACCGTGTTTGTGGCAGGGACTCATGTACTTGAACTGTCATCTGCTCTCATGATGTACATTAATAGAAAGCTGGATTGCAAAGTAGGGCAAGACTCGAACCTGGGCACTATGATTTAAGCTGTAGATGTCCCAAACTTTAGCTTAATTTGCTGAACACCTGCTCTACACATCTCATTTTGAAATAATTTTAGGCTTATGGAAAAGTTGTAATAGAATTACCAGTCACTGTTGCCAGTTGTCCCTAATGTTAATTAATGTCATATAACTATAGTTCAATCACCAAAATCAAGAAATTAACATCAGTTCAATACTGTTAACCAAATACAGACTTTATTTCATCATCAGATTTTCCACCAATGTTCTTTTCTCTTCTAGGGTCCAATATAGGATCTCCTGTTGCATTTGTCATCTGTCCCTACTCAGTCTGTGACTGCTCTTTCTCATTTCTTGTTTGTCACCTTAGGTCTTAGTTCAGGCTGCTATAACAAGCTGCCATAGATTGGGTGTCTTCAGCAGCAGGCATTTATTTCTCACAGTTGTGGTGGCTGGAAGTTGGAGATAAGGGTGCTACCATGGTAGGTTCTGGTGAGGGGTGCGGATAGCCAACTTCTTAAATCCCTGGAGACAGTTCTTTGGCCTCTTCTTAGAAGGGTGCTGATCTCATCTGGGATGACTTTGCCTTTATGACGTAATTACTTCCCCAAGACTATTCGCACATGCCATCACATTGTGGATTAGATTTCAACAGACATATTTGTTGAGAGGGAACAGACATTCAGCTCATACCACAGTGCTCCTTTTGAAGAAAACTTAGTTGTTAGTTATTTCATGGATTGCCCTTAATTTGGACTTTACTGATATTTTCTCGTTAGATTGATGTTTTGCATCTTTAGGCAAAATACCACAAAACTAATGTGCCCTTTGTAGTATATCATATAAGGGGAGGGCACACAATGTCAGTGTCTTACTATGGGTAACATTAAACTTAATTGCTTGGTTAAGGTGGCGTCTGCCAGGTTTCTCCACAGTAGAGTTGCTGGCTTTTTTTTCTATTGTAATTATTCCAAATCTTAGGGAGATACTTTAAGATTATGTAGATGCTTTTTTCTTCTCAGACTTTCACTTACAAACCTTAGCATCTTAAAGTATTTTGATATTAGAAATTTGGTCACAGTAATGCTATATATTACTCTTATCTATGTTGGCTCATTTGAAGCAGTATTTTTTGTAACAGGAATTTTTATATCTTGAAACTCATTGAGTTATTTTCCCTAATTGTGCATAAAGTATAATTTTCTAAATTTAGAAAAATTGTGCATAAAGTATAATTTTCTAATTTTAGTACATCCTTTAAGAGCTGTGCTCACTCTTACATTGCACTGTAAGGAGTATGAACTCATACAACTTTATTGAAAGTAATTTGTAACTCAAATCAAGGATTAAAAATGCTTATGTCATTGGACCTCACATTCCTCCTTGTAAGATTCTGTCCAGATTTAATTGAGTCTGTTCATTGAGTTTGAATGTCAACAATTTACATATTGGAATTTCACTTAAACATTATTTGTAAGAAAAACTTGGGAGCTGTGTATTAAAAATAAGGAAATAAATTATTGAACTCATTTAAAGTTGCAACCACTAAAGTCTTCAAAGATTAATTAATGATATGGGTAAATGCTTATAATATGCTAAATAAAATACCAGAATACAAAGTTTTATGCAGCACTGTCTCAGTTTTCTTTAAAGTGTGAACTTAAATAGGATGTTGAAAAGATTTTTAAAAATTATTCTACACTGGGTTCAGTGTTGTGGCGTAGCAGGTTAAGCAACTGCCTACAAAGCTTGCATCCCATAACAGTAGCAATTCGAATCCCAGTAGCCCCACTTCTGTTCCAGCTCCCTGTAAAGTTGCAGAAGATGGCCCAAGATGAGAGACCCAGATGCAGCTCCTGGTTCCTGGCTTCAGCCTGTCCTAGCCCCAGCGATTGCATCCGTTTGGGGAATGAATCAGCAGATAGAAGTTATCTATCTGTCTGTCTGTCTCTCTCTCCTCTCTCTCTGTCTCATCCTTTCCCACTGTAACTCTGCCTTTCAAATAAATGAAATAAATCTTTAGAAAAAATTACACTATACTAACTTTTTCTAGGTATTGAAACTAAAAGTAATTTTTGTACTTTCTTCAAATATCCACATTTTCTAAAATGAGATTTAGATTTGTAAGGTGGAAAGTGTATATAATCTAAAAGAATAATAATAATAATTGATATTTCTCCATTTCTCTCATTTGCCTGTGTACAAAATTGAGCTATATATTTAGATATGCATTGTTTAGCTATTGGGTCTTCTTTCATTACATTCTTTCTAGAAATTTATGTCAAATGTTTACATATTAAATATTTAAATATTTAAAAATTATTTTACAGCTTGTATACTTTTGATATGCGTGTACTGGACACCCCTGTGATGGTCCATATGGACCATGTCTCTGCAGTGCTTGATGTGGATTACTCCCCCACTGGGAAAGAGTTTGTGTCTGCTAGTTTTGATAAATCTATTAGAATCTTTCCTGTGGACAAAAGTCGGAGCAGGTATGTGACTACCAAAAAGCCATTTAGTTTTGTTCAGTTCTTCTTTCTCCTGATCATCCTTTATCCTTCCTGGGAGGGTGACTGGCTATGTGTATGTAATGGGGCACACACCCAAGTATCATGACTTGGAGTATCAACTTCTCCTTTCTCATCAGTGAGCAAAGCATGAGTCTACCAAGAGATTTCTTTGCACAAGGTATTATCTTATTTGTTGGTGCTAAATCTGTCTACCTCACAGCAAGTCATTTTTAATTTAGAATTATTTTTTAATGCTTTTTAGTAAAGTTTCTAAAAACTTTAGTTTGATGATGGATAGGTTTCATCCTAAACAATTCAAGAGCAATTAATAAAAATAATACTTTACATTTACTTGTAACTTATGCACCAATACAAAAAGAAAAAAGTTTAAGTTGTCAGGACATTATTGCCTTATTCTACCTTCATGTAGGTACTTGGATTGTGCCTAGACTGAGTAATAGTGAAAGATTAAATATGCAACTGTCCCATAATTCATTTGTATATCTCATTCTATGAGCACATAGCCTCTACACATATTATGGATTAGTAAATATGTATTTATACATTTGTATTATACTTTTGTTTTAAAGTAGTTTATATAGAATACCATAACATTTTTCAAAAAAAAAAAAAAGAATACCATAACATTTTAAGGCATTTTCAAGGGTAATTTTTTTTTTAAAGATTTATTTATTTATTTGAAAGTAGAGGCAGAGACAGAGAGTTTCTTTTTTTTTTTTTTTTTTTACAGGCAGAGTGGACAGTGAGAGAGAGAGACAGAGAGAAAGGTCTTCCTTTGCCATTGGTTCACCCTCCAATGGCCACCGCGGCTGGCGCACCGCGCTGTTCGAAGCCAGGAGCCAGATGCTTCTCCTGGTCTCCCATGGGGTGCAGGGCCCAAGCACTTGGGCCATCCTCCACTGCACTCCCTGGCCACAGCAGAGAGCTGGCCTGAAAGGGGGGCAACCGGGACAGAATCCGGCACCCCGACAGGGACTAGAACCCGGTGTGCCGGCGCCGCTAGGTGGAGGATTAGCCTAGTGAGCCGTGGTGCCGGCTGAGAGGTTTTCCATCCTCTGGTTCACTCCCAATTGGCTTCAATGGCCAGAGCTATGGCTATCAAAAGGCAGAAGCCAGGAGCTTCTTCCCAGTCTTCCATACAGGCAGGGGCCCAAAGACTTGGGCCATCTTCTAGTGCCTCCCAGGCCACAGCAGAGAGCTGGATTGGAAGTGGAGCAGCTGAGACTGGAACTGGCGCCCATATAGGATGCCAGCACTGCAGCAGGCGGCTTAACCTGCTACGCCACAACGCTGGCCCCTCAAGGGTAATTTTGAACTTAATTTTTTTGCCTTAGACTGATGTAAAACTTCTATGTAACATATGACCCCCTGTGTAGTTTGCTATGGTTTGCAGAGTACTTTTGTACACATTCAACATTTGTTTCTTCAAAATGTCTTGGATGTTGTCTTGAAAGCATGTATAAAGCAAATCCAAATAAATTGAAAGAAATTTTCCCATAAAAATTATATAATTAAGGAATTATAGTGGTATTATACTTGAAGAAATGATGACTTCCATTTTAATGTAATAACTATTAGAATAAAAATAAAGTAATCCAAGTACATACATATGCATGCATACATATATATGCATTTGTGTGTATTTGTTTACACTCATACTTGGTTGGGTGGCCCGGTCTTGCTTAATGGAATTATAGGAAAGTAAAGGAAAGATGCCCTTGGTGAAAGCTAACAAGAAATGATTGGAGATAGTCAAAAAGGAAAAGAGGGAAAAAATGAATCAGATGAGGGAAAGAGAAGGAGAGAGACCCTGTGTAATGAAAGTGGGAGGTGTTCATCTGTGTTAGAAACAACAGTGTGGAGAAGGGAAAGCAGTTTAGCAGCTACTAAAGATTAATGGTAGCTGAGCATCTTTCTGAGACCTATTATTCATTTAAAAAAATCCAGGGAACATTCCATTTGATGTTACATCTGCAGCAAGATGAAGAAATCTTACCATTTTAGTGCAATGAAGAAAATTTTTATCATTACTCATAATGATAAGCCAGGCTGGCTTCCTTCTGTAGTTCCGAAGATTCTGAACCTTCTGAAGAAAGATGTTTGTTTTCAGAGGCACATCCTGTCCTTTTTCTGACTCACCTTCATTCTCTTCTGGGAGAGTCAGGACTGGGAAGAGATAAGTGAAGTACATAGCATCTAGAATGTAAGGAGTTACTCATTCTCAGGATCCTTCAGTGCTGATGCAGCTGACCTTGAGAATGAGTGCCTCCTTGAAGTTCACATGGCCTCAGACAGTGCCTCTCTCCTGAGAGCCAAACAGCTCATTTGTAATTTTTTTGGTCATAGCAAATCAGTTGTCTAATGGTATCTTCACTGGTCATAGTTGCATTTTTCTCCAGTCTAATTTGAGGGAGCCATATTGAGTCCTAAACCTTGTATCGTCATTGGTTGCCAGCACATAATTGTCATCTTCACCGACTTTTTTTTTTTTTTTTAAGATTTTTTTTTAAATTTATTTGAAAGAGTTACAGAGAGAGGTAGAGACAGAGAGATGGCGAGATGGCCACAACAGCCACAGCTGTGCTGATCTGAAGCTAGGAGTCAGGAGTTTCTTCCGGGTTTCCCACGTGGGTTTGGGGGCCCAAGCACTTGGGCCACCTTCTACTGCTTTTCCAGGCCATAGTGGAGAACTGGATCAGAAGAGGAGTGGCTGGGATTAGAACCGGCGCCCATATGGGACACTGGCACTTCAGGCCAGGGCTTTAACCCACTGCGCCACAGCGCCGGCCCCTTCACTGCCTTTGTCATTACTGAGGTGTTTGAGTCTAAAGTGCACTGAAGGATTGATTTGATGACTTTGATCTTCATCCTTTCAACTTCATAGTAGAACTCCTGATGTTGGTTCTCTGTGGCTGTTGCTTCCTTTGCAGTTGCCTTGATACAAATCTCCACATTGTCACGAAGGGATTTTGGAGTTGTTCAGTCAAAATTCTCACACATCTGGAAGATGTTAAAAATCAAAAGAATTTGCCCTCCATCTTTTCTTGTTACCAGAACTTCTAAAGGTAGTAAGAGATTGCTTTCCTAAAATGATGCTTAAGCATAGAAGGAACGGAAAAGAGAATTAAAAAACAGAAAGAGAAATAGGAATGTATAGAAGAAGTACCTGTGATTCTGAGAGCCAACAATGGAGTTCAGGCTGATTATTCCAAAGCCAATGGGGGCAAGTAATAGAGTTCTTACATTTCATTTCCAGGGGATTATCTCCCAATGTGATTTTTTTTTTTTTTTGGTTGTGTGTTTTGAAGATTGACTTATTTATTTGAAAGAGTTAGAGAGACAGAAACCTTCCATTGGCTGATTTATTCCCCAGATGGCAGCAGTGGCCTGGCTGAAGTCAGGAGCTAGGAGCTTTTTCCAGGTCTCCCATGTGGTTAGCAGGGGGCAAGCATTTTGGCCATCTTCTGCTGCTTTTCCTAGGCCATTAGCTGGGAGCTGGATGGGAAGAGGAGCAGCTGGGACTTGAACCAGTTCTCATATGGGATGCCAGTGTTGGAGATAGCAGCTTTACCCACAGTGCCAGAGCACTGTCCCCGGGTTTGAAGGTTTTGTAATCACAATAGTCTTTTTTTTTTTTTTTAATTTATTTGACAGGTGGAGTTACAGACAGTGAGAGAGACAGAGAGAAAGGTCTTCCTTCCGTTGGTGCACTCTCCAAATGGCTGCAACAGCGGGAGCTACGCCAATCCAAAGCCAGGAGGCAGGAGTCTCCTCCTGGTCTCCCATGTGGGTGCAGGGGCCCAAGAACTTGGGCCATCCTCTACTGCTATCCCAGGCCACAGCAGAGAGCTGGACTGGAAGAGGAGCAACCGGGACAGATTCTGGCGCCCACAATAGTCATAATGTATGTTACTCATGGGTCCGGCACTGTGGCATAGCTAGCAATAAAGCTGCCACCTGCAGTGCCAGCATCATCCATTTGGGCACCAGTTTGAGCCTCAGCTCCTCCACTTCCAATCCAGCTCCCTGCTAATGTGCCTGGAAAAGCAATGGAAGATGACCCAAGTCCTTGGGCGTCTGCATCCACAAGGGAGACCCAGAGGAAGCTCCTGGCTTTGGATCAGCTCAGTTCTGAGCATTGTGGCCATTTGGGGAGTGAACCAGTAGATAGAAGATCTCTCTCTGCCTCTGCCTCTCTGTAACTGTACCTTTCAAATAAATAAATAAATCTTAAAAATGTATGTTACTCATGGGGTGATTAGATGTAAATGGGATTCCCTCTTTCTTTTGCCATAATCTACTTGAAAGCTAGTTTTAGTTCATCTCTGGTCTGCTTGGTTTCCTATCATTGCAGACATAAAGTAGCTGATGCATAAGCCATGCTTTGAATAGTCTGTTTTTAAAATATTTTCCTCGGGCCAGCGCTGTGGCGTAGTGGGTGAAGCCGCCACCTGCAGTGCCGGCATCCCATATGGGTGCCAGTTCTAGTCCCAGATGCTCCACTTCCAGTCCAGCTTTCTGCTATGGCCTGGGAAGGCACTAGAAGATGGCCCAAGTCCTTGGGCCCCTGCACCTGCATGGGAGATGAGGAAGAAACTCCTGGCTCCTGGCTTTGGATCAGCATAGCTCTGGCTGTTGTGGCCAATTGAGAGTGAACCAGCAGATGGAAGACCTCTCTCTCTCTCTGCCTCTCCTTCTAACTGTGTGTAACTCTGACTTTCAAATAATTAAATAAATCTTTTTAAAAAATTTTCCGGCCAGCGCCACGGCTTAATAGGCTAATTGCGGCGCCAGCACACCGGGTTCTAGTCCCGGTCTGGGTACCGGATTCTGTCCCGGTTGCCCCCCTTCCAGTCCAGTCTGTCAAAAAATAAAAAAAAAAAAAAAAGAAAGAAAGAAAGAAAGAAAAAAATTTTCCAATGAAAGACCTTAAAATTAGTGTGAATTTTTATAGTAAACTTAGCAAATATTTAAAAACAATAGAATCAGTGTTTGGAAGTTGGCATTTATTGAGCTTTGATTCAATATTTGCTAAGCAAATAGGTAAATTGCTAACATTCACAGAGAAAAATTAGTTTATTTTGAATATGTATATAAAGAACTTAAGTTTTAAAATGTATTTATCAAGGCCAGTGTTGTGGCACAGCAGGTTAAGCATGCAATGCTGACATCCCATATGGGCATGTGTTTGTGTCCTGGCTGCTCCATTTCCTCCAGCTCCCTGCTAATGCACCTGGGAAAGCAGCAGAAGATGGCCCAAGTGTTTGGGCTCCTGCCATTCATGTGGGAGACCTGGAAGGAGTTCAAGGCTCCTAGCTTCAGCCTGGCCCAATCTCTGTCTTTGCAGCTATTTAGGGAGTGAACCAGCGGGTGGAATATCTTTCTCCGTCTCTCCCTTTCTCTCTATAAATAAATAAATCTTTAAATAGAAATGTATTTATCTCCTGATAGTATAATTTTTAGTGAGCTTTATAAAGTAAGCATATGTGCAAACATAACCGTATCTAGAAGCTAAGAACTCTCTTTACCATTAATTAATAGTTCACAATTAAGGAGAATCCAAAATTGGTTGTGACCAATCATTGGATTTTATTGGTCTGTTATTTGAACAGGTTACTTAAAAAAAAAAAAAAAAAAAAGATTTATTTATTTTATTTGAAAGTCAGTGTTAGAGAGAGGAGAGAGAGAGGTCTTCCATCCATTGATTCAATTTCCAATTGGCCACAACAGCCAAGGTGTGCCTATCCGAAGCCAGGAGCCAGGCGCTTCTTCCGGGTCTCCTATGCGGGTGCAGGGGCCCAAGGACTTGGGCCATCTTCTACTGCTTTCCCAGGCCATAGCAGAGAGCTGGATTGAAAGTGGGACAGCCGGGTCTCGAACCAGTGCCCATATGGGCCAGGGCGTCAACCCGCACCACAGTGCCAGCCCCTGAACAGGTTTTTTTTAATGGTTGCTGAAGCCTGATTGAATTTCCTTACATTTAAACTCATTGTTTTGGAAAGAGGGACCTATTCAGTTGGTAGAGATGATAAGAAATGAGTCTTAGAAAAGCAGAGCCTTGACAGGGAGAAGAAAACAGTCTGTCTCATCTAGTTTTCCCTTTCATAGATTCGTCTTTCTAACCCTTTTAAAAATAAATTTCTTAAGGTTTAAGTGCCAACAAAATATCCATCAGAACTGGTGTAAAAGACTAGTTTTGTGAATGTACTTTAGAGTTTTTTTTAATAGTTGTGAATTACATTTGTTTTGATCATCCCATATGGGTTTTCTTTTACTATGTATAATTTGTTAAGCCTGTTGCTTTTCTGTCATGTAGTCTGATATGGATAATTTGCTTCTCCAGAAATCTCATCGCATTTTTTCTGACCTTGTCTCTTACTTTTTAATGATCTTCTTAACACTTCTGAATATAGTATCTGCTGTGACTTCACTTAGCATGGTTCACAGCCTTTCTAAATAGGTATAATATTTGACATCTCCATTTATTAAATGACTCTTACCTCAACGTACCAGACACTTTGTAACCCTCTCTTTCTTTTCACACATGTAAATCATCAATTCTCACTTCAATTAATTAAACTTTTTAAATAATATGAGCAAAGCAAAAGCCAGGCATTAGGTTCAATATATAAAAATGTGCTCTTTGAATGCCATTGTATCCAGTTTAATTTATTTTCCAATCAAATGAAAAAAATACAAAAAATAAAGTGATTCGAAGACTTTTTTAAGAGTAAGCTGTTTCTTACTGTACAGTTACTCCAGCTTTAGCATTTTTACTTAGAGTTTATACTCAGTGATTTGTGAACGTTTTTTTTAACTTAATTCTTTTTCTATAGAGAAGTCTATCACACAAAGAGAATGCAGCATGTTATCTGTGTAAAATGGACTTCTGACAGCAAGTATATCATGTGTGGATCTGATGAAATGAACATTCGTCTGTGGAAAGCTAATGCTTCTGAAAAGTTGGGTGTGGTAAGAGACTCATTTCATTTTATTTATTTAAAAATTTATTTTATTTATTTGAAAGAGTTACAGAGAGAAATAGAGACAGAGAGAGAAGTCCTCTATCTGCTGGTTCACTCCCCAGATGGCTGCAATGGCCGGAGCTGCACCGATCTAAAACCAGGAGCCAGGAGCCTCTTCTGGGCCTCCCACATGGGTGCAGGGGCCCAAGGAGTTGGGCCATCTTCTACTGCTTTCCCAGGCCATAGCAGAGAGCTGGATCAGAAGAGGAGCAGCCAGGAGTAGAACCAGCACCCATATGGGATGCCAGCACTTCAGGCCAGGGCTTTAACTCACTGTGCTACAGCACTGGCCCCAAGAGACTCATTTCATTTCATTGTCATGAGGCTACCTTCTGATTTTATTGGCTATTATTGTATTGTAAAGATAATTTATTAGAAGTACTTTAGTTATTTTGGTCAAATTGGCATAACTGATAAAAAAAAACAAGGAGGTAAGTTACCAACACAACAAGATTATACTGATTTTTTTAAAGTTAAGGGCTCCTTCAGAATGCCTTTGTTAGTTCAGCTGTTTGAAATTTGAGCTTCTTGATTCTTCGTGTTTTCCTTGAGGAGTAGGGACTTGCAACATAGAATTTAGGGGCACACCTCTCTCTTCTGTAGGAGGAATAGTAATTGATCAGATCAAAAGCTGCAAATCCCTGTGAGGTCTTTATTATCCAAGACATGGTGATACACTTAAATAAAAAGGAAATACAAAACGTTTTTAAGACACTTAATGAAAATATAACAGATATTGTTGACTAGTAAGGGGTTTTATTTATTTGAGAGGCAGGGTTACAGAGAGAGAGACAGAGACAGAGAGGTCTTGCATCCACTGTTTCACTCCCCAAATGGCCACAATAGCCGAAGCTGTGCCAATCTGAATCCAGGAGCCAGGAGCTTCTTCTAGGTCTCCCATGTGGGTGCAGGGGCCCACGTACTTGGCCCTTCTTCAACTGCTTTCCCAAGCCATAAGCAGAGAGCTGGCTCAGAAGAGGAACAGTTAGGACATGAACTGGTGCCCAAATGGGATGAAGCTGAGCTTACTGTTCCATAGTACCAGCCGCCCTGATAGTTTTCTAAATGTGCTATCTTCAAAAAGAAATATGCAAGGTATTTATACCAGAAGCAGATATTAAGTTAAAGAAGGAAAGGTTAAATAGTTATTTTCTACTTAGCCCTGATAGAAAAATCAAGATATAGGCAGTAAGGTTCATTCTAATTTGAATATAATGACTGGTCAGTAATTCTGTTTTGGATCTAATGATTGGTAAGTTAAATCTACATCTAGGTTTTCATTTATTCTAGATGCAGTGAGTCACAGATGGACAGAGAACTTCTGTCCATTTTATTTTACTTATTTTATTTATGCCTAGGTTTTAGTTCGTCATAAAATGTTCCTCTAAATTGTATCAAAGGTTAGTTATGGAATTGAATACCCTTTTTCCTCATTTTTGTTTCAGTAGTTTTCACCCCCAAGCCACACCCCAAAATTGGAGTGACTGCGTGCTTTTCCTTTATTGTTCATGCCTAGGAAGCTCCACCTCTGTGGTCAACTCTTTCAGCAGCTCTGTTTTTCATCTGGTGATGACTCTTCACCGCAGGCTTGTTGCCTACAGGGAAATTTGGTGCTTACAGAGTTGGTATTAATAACATAACCTTGTAAAGGACAGAATTACATTGGCAGTTTTAGTTGCAATTCCAACAACTGAGTTTTTTGGAGGGGAAAGCTGCTTCCTATTCACTGAACTATCAAAATGAATTTTTCAGCTTACATCACGAGAAAAAGCAGCCAATAATTATAACCAGAAGTTAAAGGAGAAATTTCAACATCATCCTAGTATAAAACGTATAGCTCGTCATCGACATCTACCAAAATCTATCTACAGCCAGATTCAGGAGCAACGCATCATGAAAGAAGCTCGTCGACGAAAGTATGTTATCACAGTACCCTTTTCTCACATCCTCTCATCTCATGAAAACAAAACACTACCTTTCAGATGAGTAGTTTATGTACTATTATACATTGGATTTTTTTTTAAGATGTATTTATTTATTTATTTGAAAGGCAGAGTGATAGAGACAGAGATCTTCTGTCCTTTGATTGGCTCCCCAACTGCCAGTAGTGAGGAACTTGATCCGGTCTCCCACATGGATGCAGGGGCCCAAGGTTTCTGTTGCTTTATATAAAGCAACAGAAATAAGGTGAATTAGCAGAAAGTTGGGTTGGGAGCAGAGGAGCCAGGACTGGAACCAGCACTCCAATATAAGATGCTAGTATAACCTACTGCACTGCAGTGTTTGCCCTAGATACATTTTTGAAGACGTTTCTGGGCTTTCTTTCTTTTCTTTTCTCAGTAAAGGGAGAACTGATCATCTGAATATGAGAATTTCTATTACCTATTTTTGAGAGTATGTTTAAAGGGCAAATAATGAAAATGAATTATCAAAATAAGAAAACTATCCCATATTTTAAAAATATCATTAATAGGTAATGTTTTCAGAATGATTTGTAATGTAGCTGGAATTAAAAACTACTGTGTATTTTCCCAGTTAAGGAATACAGAGAGTTATATACAGTGCATATTTCTTAAGTAAAAAATATTCTAATGTTCTTTGTCCTGATATTTGAGATCTAATGACAAATTCCTACCACCTCCACAGTTTCCCTTGTGGAGTTTGGGATCTCTTTAAACACACACTTCATGCAAAATACTATGGAAATTCTGAGAGCTTTCTTTTTTTAATTTATATAACTTATTTTGCTGTCTGGGTAGGTAAATGTTGGACTTGAATCACTTTAAATATTTCATTACTGCGGCATGTTTTTAAACTTAATAAAGGACACTGACAGATAATAGGGTAAGAAGCAAATAAATGATGAAAGTTGATTTTTAGTTACTAGTTACTTTGTACGTGTTCTCACTGTAAAAATATTTTTTTCTCAGTAGATGTTTTTCCAATGAAAGAAAACAGGTTTTGATTTTTTTTTTTGAAAAAATCTTTACATGATGTCATTTACATAAACTTATATTTTGTTTATTTCTAGGGAAGTGAATCGCCGTAAGCATAGCAAGCCTGGATCAGTGCCAATTGTGTCAGAGAGGAAGAAGCACGTAGTAGCAGTTGTGAAATAATATTTGGTATTCCTGCTAATCCTGACATGAAACTTTTTGTTACTTTTGACTTGAGAACTCTACAAATAAAAGTACTGGTTCTGGTTTAACAGTAAACGTTTCAGGTATATGTGTAGACTCTTAACTGTTGCTCAGTTACCCTGCATAATTACCGTCAAGGTAACCTGATTATGTGTAATATTTCATCCTTAATCTGCTTTAATCTGTCATTGAAGAATTTGCAACATTTGCAACTAACTGATTTTTGCCATTAGAAATTGCAGATGCACTTTTTCTCTAATAGATTATAGACATTATACATTTGAATTTACATTTAAGACTGCACATTTCTTGTGTCATCTCTAATCTTACTTTGGGTAATGATTACATTGATTTTTTTATGATTCCTCATACACATAGAAGAATTATGTTAGAACTTTTTTCAGCTGAATTTCTTTCCTGTGTTTTATTCATATTTGGCCTTTTTAAATTTTAAACACGGGCAGCTTTCATTTATAGAACTTTTATAAGTAATACTAATTATAATTTGTAGTCAAGATAATAAAACATTCTTTTTCTCAGCATTGAAACTTTGATGATCTATTTCTGGTAAATAATTTCAGTCTCACTAAATCATAAGTATTTCTGTGTGACAAAGGTCATCTTGGCTTTTTAAATTATCTGCTTAAACTTTATTATAAATATTCATATAAAAACCTAGATTTTTAGAAAGAAGAAACTTACAAAAAACAAGTGAAAGACTTTTTTAGGAACATGTATATTTGTAGTGAAAAGTATAAATGTACAGGAATGGTAAAGATAAGTATCTGGAGAGTGGGAATTGCCCAGTTGAGATAGGCTACCTTGGACATTGCAACTCTCTCTGTAAAGTTTTATTTCTGAGGCTGTGTATAAATTCTGTTATTTTTAAAACGTTCTTGAAAAGCATTTCATCTTATTTTTCTTAAGTCTGGTGAGAGATCAGCCGACTACGTTTTGATTCTAATGTTCTATTGTAGGCTTCAAATTACTTGATTTTTAAGGTGAACGTACTTCTCTTATGCACCATATTGCTGTTAGTATGAAGTATGCGAATACTAGCCCATAAACATGAGCGTCTCAGTTGGAGTTTAAGAAGCAGATGCCTAGATGGGATTAGCTGTGCGGGAGATTTACTGGAGGGAATCTCGTGAAGGATACAAGAGGGAGTAGGAGATGGCGGGGAGAGCTTTCAGAGTGTGTCGCAGGGACTGACACCTGTGGTGGAAAAGAATCTCAATGCAGTTCTACAAAAGGTGGGGCCAGGCTAAGGGGAGTCCCGTGGCACGTAAGAATGTGCCAGCATTGGGCCGGCGCCGCGGCTCACTAGGCTAATCCTCCGCCTAGCGGCGCCGGCACACCGGGTTCTAGTCCCGGTCGGGGCACCGGATTCTGTCCCGGTTGTCCCTCTTCCAAGCCAGCCCTCTGCTGTGGCCAGGGAGTGCAGTGGAGGATGGCCCAGGTGCTTGGGCCCTGCACCCCATGGGAGACCAGGAGAAGCACCTGGCTCCTGGCTCCTGCCATCGGATCAGCGCGGTGCGCCGGCCGCAGCGTGCCGGCCGCGGTGGCCATTGGAGGGTGAACCAATGGCAAAAGGAAGACCTTTCTCTCTGTCTCTCTCTCTCACTGTCCACTCTGCCTGTCAAAAAAAAAAAAAAAAAAAAAAAAAGAATGTGCCAGCACTGATGCCCTCCCAGTGCTGGCAGTGGCAGGGAGGGGCCCTGAGGCCCTGCCTGGTGCAGTGGTGAAGAGGGGTGGCAGCACAGGTAGCTGTGCTCTTTGCAGCCAGTTTTCTTTCAGAAATGCTAAGCACCGCGTTTCTGTGGCTGCCAAGGTTCACCTCTCGCGCTGCACAGATCCACCTCTCCTTGTAGGTTTGTGTGGGGAGCAACCCGGACTAGACTAAGTTACTGGAATTAGGACTTATTCTATGCATCTGCTCTCCCACAATATGGCTCTGAGAAGGGAGTAAGAACTATACAGCTGCCTCCAGTTCAACCAATAAACAGCAGGACCTGCTCCTGATTGGAGGAGAGCAGCGTACTCGGCGTGTGGGTAGCAGAGTTGGGATTGGCGGAAGAGGACTATAAAGGAGGAGAGAGACAGCATGCACCAGGAACATCTAGGGGGAACACCTGAGGAACACCTGTGCAGCCCCCGAGAGAGCCGGCCGGCGGTGTGCCGCTCCCCCGCGGAAGTGGGGAATGTGGCAGGGGGAACCACCCTTCCACGGAGGTGGAAGGGACGGTAGCCAACCCGGGAAGAACCAGCAGCAAACCCGGGGAGGGCCGAGCAGACAAAAGAACAACGCAGGGTCCTGTGTCGTTCCTCCATGAAGAGGGGGAGCGACAGGTTTGGGTGGCAACTCCTCCATGATTCCCATACACCTCTTAGAAGACAGCATGGTCTTGTCTGCAGGGCCACAGCGAGGCTCATCTTGTCTCCTCCTCTGCAGGTTCAGAGCAGTTTATCATTAAGTACGGGAGGGGAGGAGGGGGAGAATTCCAGGAAGGAAAACTGTTTCTGTGTCTAGCAGTGTCTTACCTTTCAGCACTGAGAGTGAGCCTAACAGGAAAGAGCGTCCTTCCCTTAGCCTCCTCTCCTGCATAATCAGTTCTAGTCGGTAAGGCCAGCTTTTGGTTGATTTACAGTGTTCAGTAGAACAGGTGTTTATTTAATTTTTTTTTTTCCTTTTCGTTTCACCACTTTACTTTTGTCTTTTTCTGTATTTCCTCTCATGTTTTTAGCCCTTTAGCCCAGTGAACTGTAAATTCATGTACCACCTAAAAATTGAAGTAACCGTAGTACGATGTAGGCAGGCCATTTGATATTACTGCCTTGAAAAGAAGTGTCACCTGCTGAGTCACTGGCACCAGCTCCTGCTACAACCTGTGGTTTCCATAGTGATGTCTCAGGGACTTCGACACAGCTGAAGCTGACTCGCTGAAGACATGAGCAGTTTTTCCTGTGAATCAAGCCTTTTTCTAATCTAGATATGGGAGCATGATTTTGATATATTAAGATGTAACTTCACTGGTCCAAGATTTTTGGAACAAAATACACAGATTTTAAGAAGTGAGGTTATTAGGGTAGAACTCCAAGGGCAGAAACAAGAGATGGTGGCAACCTGAAAGGATTGCTTAAGGAAACTGAGAAATCTAATATAAATGATTTATAGTAGCTTCCCAGGGAAGACATTTGTATCAAACACCTTGTTATTAAATCCTGCCACTTGATTGTTACTATGATCCTTTAATAGAACCAGAGAAAACAAATTGCAGATTCAGAAAGGTAGAGTTATAGAGAAAGAGAGACCTAGTTGCCAGATCCTGGCCAGGTCAAAGCCAAGAGCCCGAGTCTCCATCCAGATTTCCCACATGGGTAACAGGGGCCCCAAATTCTTGGGCCATCTTCCACTGCTTTCCCAGGCACATTAGCAAGGAGCTGGATGGGAAGTGGAGCACTCAGAATTCAAACCAGCACTCTTAGAGGATACCAGCATTGCAGGCAGTACCAAGGCACCACAACCCCTGTCCTTCGAACTGTTCTTTTATAATCCCCACTCATCTTATTTTCAGAAAAAGGAAGGGAAAAGACTTGGGAATGACTATGACATGGGCAAGAAGGGATCATCAGAAATGAAATCTTATCTTCAGGGAACATTTATGGTCAGCTTGAATGTTAGAGCAATGAACACAAAACTGATTGCAACCCAGTAAACATCAGTGATTCATATAAGGCCTTCCAACCCGGTATTAGAAAATACGAAATAAGTATTTGATTATTTGATTACAGAGATTTTGGAGTCCCAGTGTTTTGATACAATGACAGTGACAATAGTGCTGATGGTGCATACGTTTTAAAGTAAACAAGTTTGCTTTAATCCCTTTTTAAAGTTATTAAACAGTTACAGTTAAATCAGGACTAAGAACTCTTTCATTGAATGAGTAAATGATTTATTGAGTGAGTATTCTGAAATCTGCATATATTGAGTCCCAGCTATGTGCCTGCTTTTTTTTTTTTTTTTTTTTTGAGTGAATGGCAATAGTCATTATTTTGTTGAGTCCCTAAACTCCCATTTCCTGCATTGCCTATTTGAATGGTACACCACCCACAGAGGTAACCAAGACAGAAACCTGGGTGTAAAGGTACAAATGCTATGAATAGTATTGGTAACAATAGCAGCTAATGTTTACTGAGCACTCACAGCACTGTAAATGATTTGCATACATTTAATTTAATTTGTTTTTAATTCCTGTAAGAACCCCAAAAGAAAGGTCTTCTTGTAACCCACATTTAGTCTATTCTACATTCAACCTATAAGAGATTCTGAAAGGAACTCAGTCTCAAAGGAGAGTAACATGAAAATGAGTATTTGCATACATTATTAAAATGTTTGAATATGATCCTACTATACCTAGAGTAGAAGCCTAACTTCCCGCTGGGGAAGGAAGAAACCCTCCAGAAGTGAAAATAATTATTATTAAATTACCAGCTGATTCTGGCCTGCTGCACGAATGAGTATTCAGATATATCACTGTTAACCCTCCAGCAGGGCTACATTATCAGAAACTTACTGCCTGACATCTGATAACACATAAGTTTTGGGCTGAAATTCTCCAGGGAGATATGCAAGTTACAGAATAGAAATTTCATTGAAAACTACAGATTAAAGAATCAGAAAGCATAGAATATGTTCCTAAGTCATAGGGTAGAAAGAGTGAGTATACGGTGAAAATGAAGGTGGATGTGAGGAGTAGAAGCATCAAGCTGGAACAGAGTGTGCTGCAGGTTTGAGTGGGTGGGCCTGTGAGAAGGTCAGCCAGCAGCAACAGAGTATAGGGTTCTAGCTGGTGCAAATAACACATGCTATGGCATAGACAGAGAAGCAGGGCAGCAAAACAAGAGGAGACATATCTTCTGATCTTGATCCTTGTAATTTGCCCAAAGGAGAAAAGCAGTTTTAACTTTTAGGCCTCCCTCTAAAGATTGGCCTGATGTTTTTATGAGTCCCTCTCCCGTCCCCAGTAAGTGAAAATCTTTTTTGCAACAAAACACAAAGATTAAAAATACAAAAG